GTTTTTGACAGCTTTATAAAATATTCTTCATTCTCAGGTCAGCCAATCAAGAGTTTATCTCTTGAGCCCTCCTGGTTGAACCAAACATGATAGCTGACGTAATAACCATTGTTGTACATGTAAAGTTTCTGATCAGTGGGGTTGTAGTCCAGGTAAACATAGGAGTCCTGGAACTTCTCAAATGGAACACTACCATAGCTTTCCTTTTCTGTGCGAGTGTCAAAGGTGTAAAAGATCTCTTCGGTTTTAGAGTCTACAGACCGTGTGGCATACAGAACCCCACACACCATAAAAGAGTTTCCTACAGATGGTTTGAAAATACTGGTCTGCCAAACTTTCTCTACCTCAAATGTCTCCTCGTTGATCCTCCCTAAAACCAGTTTACCCTTCGAGTCCTCCGTGGCGTAAGTTACCCACAGGCCCGACTCATCGGCTGCGAAGTCCAGGTTCTGGTTGGCCGAGTAATGGTATGAGAATCTAGTGCTGGCATTGGGAATCGCCTTGTACTGAGCTGTTGCACTGGTCATGTTGAACTTTGCCATAGCAAAAGTGGGTCTGAACTGATAGTACAAGGTGTTTTCTCGCACAATGTAGTTGTTTCCAGTTCCTTGCCAATCATATTTATATCTGTCGTAAAGCTCATGTTTCTTAAAGACCTGTCTCATGATCAGCTTGTAGTAGTCCGAGTACAGTGTGATTTTAGAGACCAGAGTGTCCGTAAAGCCGTAGTACCAGTGCATGTTCTCAGAGCCAGGCAAGGGCTTGGAGTCTTTACCCCATCCTCCATACTTGAAACCTGCATTCAAGTCTGCGTTTAGCTGGCTGATGATGGGTTTGCTGATTCTTCTAATTCCACTGTGATTGCAGATTCCTGTTAAAACAAGTAAATTACTTTATACATTATTCACGACAGGTACGCATTCAGTATTTTTTGATACAAAAAGACTTACCAATGCTGGGGTTAAATATTTCATTATGGCGGATCTCACACGCCTCTAGTTTCTGCTGAAGAATTAAATATTCTCGACGTGTCACAAGAACCAGGTTCTTGTCATAGGTGATTTCCAATTGAGTCAGCACAGAAACCATAACACTGATCTGTTTTCATCAAAAAGAAAATTTCATCAAGTTAATCTCAATCCAAAGGCAGAAAATAACCCAGAATAGTCACACAGTTCACATACATGCAGTATGCAATTTTATAGTCTCCATTTCATCTCAAGTAAAATTTACTTGGAGAACATGCAAACTCAACTCTATTTTGTTGATACTGGAACAACATTCCTGTCTCAATTTTATCCCAACCATATCCCCATCCTAAACATATACCTAACTATAACTTATCTCTAAAATCAGAGAGAAATAAGTGAATAATAATGATGTAGAAGCACCAAGCCCTGTTTGTTAGTCTAAACTGTAAAACCGTCCCTCAAATATGATTGTTTGGAATGTCAACCGAGATGTTGATCCAGGAACACGTTGTATTTGGTCAAATCACGTTCACCTAATCAGTGTTGTAGTCGAGTCACCAACTGTCGAGTCCGAGTCGAGTCCAAGTCGAGTCACCATTACCTGAGTTCAAGTAAAAAAGATGTGTGTGATGTAGGCTACTTTTTTTGCCTAACTTCCATGGTTACAAGTTAGTGTTACTATATTAAATCCACGGTGAATGTTGCTGATCTTTGGACTTAAAACCTATAACTAGTTAATTCATTCACACCACATCAGTGCTGTTTGGTTGGATAATAACGGCGAAATGTTAGTGCTTCTCACCAGATCTCGCAACAATGTTCTGTTCAGTGGCGAATTCAAATGCTTTGTTTGTTTACTGGATCTCTCTCAGCGCTGCAGTAGTGTCGCTTGATCAAGATCGGCTCGCGCTGCACTGTTGTTGATGGTCCAAACTGATAAAGGTCCGTGAAGCCCAAAACTCAAAATGAGTTTCGTTCCGCTTTCATTACGTTTGCCATTTGATGTTGCACAACGTTAGGTGGTCGCGCCAGTGCAGGAAAAATGGTCCAACTGTAATGGTTCGGTTTGTAATGCGAGTCCGAGTCCAAGTACGAGTCATCAGTCCACGAGTCCAAGTCGAGTCACGAGTCCAGAGAATGGAGTCTCGAGTCGGACTCGAGCAGACTGTGCCAGACTGGTTTTGACTGGTTAGTGTTTTTTTGGTGCTAGTGTAGCTGTTTAACCAGCTTTACCAGCTTAGCTGGTGAAAATTAGTTTGTGACTGTAGCTGGAAATCTACGGGAACAGTTACAGTCAAATAATTTGGTCTTGGAACATAGCCTGGGAAAACCCAGACAACTTCCGGCAAATTTAGATTTGCTCTGAAAGTTAGTCTGGCAAAGAGCTCATTCAAGCTCATTTCCTATCCGTTGAAATCCCGGTACCAATTTAGAAACGTTGGGGCGGGCTTTACACGATGACAACAGCACTGGGATTTTGAAGCAGATTTTGTAGCCTACATTACAAAGATGGACGCCGCCGTCGAACATCTCTCGTTCGAATCAGCTATCGCGTCTGTTTTAAGCGATTTGAAGTTTCCTTTTTGTTAAAAACCGAGCAAAGAACAACACTCAGAGATGTTTCTCCGCCGGCCGCCGCTCTGCATACGTACGTCATCTCCTTCATCGCTCTGATTGGTTTTAGGTCTACCTGCGACGTCCATTGGTGACGCCCCTCTGGAAATGATTTGTCTATGGCGCTTTGCCAGACCATAACTGGTTTGGTCTGGTTTTATGCTTTTAACTTGGCTACTTGGAACAGGGATTTTTGAAAAGAATCAAAGCTATTACAAAAGCTGTAGGTTTGCTTTGTCAACCCAACCATTTTTTTAAAGTGCTGTTTATGCTGACTGTTCAGAAAGTGTCACCTGTTCGCGTATGGTTATAAGCACGGCAGAGGTGGTTTGTAGAGACGCCTGCAGTTCCACAATTAGAGCTTCCACTTGCATGATCTTGATTTTCACCTCCTCCAAGTGGAGCTCACTGTAGGAGTCGGGGTTATTCTCCATCAGCTTGATCAGCACTGTCAGGTTTGTTATCTTTGCTATGTAGATGCTTAGTTTAACCTCGTAAGTCTCCACCTGTACAAGAACCGTAAAAGAACCGTTACAGCATCTGCATGTTACTTCAGTTTAGTTGCATGAGTTATTAAGATTGTACCGAACCTTGCTAATCTCTATCTCCAGTTTGTGGTTGATCTCAACTGCTGTGCTCTCCAGCGAGATGAGCTCACCGATTGGAAATGTGCTGTTGGGCAGGAAAGCCTCACATGTGCATTCTCCACTGGGATCTCCTCCACTGCCCTCAGTCCAGAGACTCAGTGCCTAGAGAAGAGAGGTGAAAGCCATAAGTCTTTCTCCTCTTCTACATCAGTTTGGATTCATGTATATGTTAATTACAGAGATTTACATTGCATTCAAGGAATTCACCTTAGTTCATGCCTTCAGTTTGAATTAAACCCATGACCTTGGTGTTGCTGGTGCCTTGCTCTACTGCAGGCATGACAAAATAATACCAGTTCTGACCCACATCAAGTTCTAGCATCAAAGTATGAATAAACTCAATCTGTTCGTCATATAAAGTGAGAAACTCTCTTCAGAACATTAGGACTAAACCAATTGATTCATGGGTACTTTTTGAAGCGACAAATGGTAGTTGCTTATACTGTCAATGGAGGGAAAACATCTCTTAATTTCATTTCAAATTTCTTCATTTGTGTTCAGAATATCTTAGGGTTTGGAACGACGAGGGAAATCGATGACAATTTTGGGTGAAATAACCCTTTAAGGTTTTACAAGATTCAGTATCAAAACTACATTGCATTTGCATTGATCTTTTATTCATTTTCAGATATCTGAGATATTCCAATTAATATTTTATGGTCTGCTGCTTTAAAATCTGTGAGTGAGCATAATTTCTCTGGTGTCTCCTAAACTGGAGTCATTTTATATTGTTAAACCATTCAAAGCTCATCTTAAGACCTACTTTTTCCTTTAGCTAATTAGTTAATTTATAAAGAACTTAGAAGAAATAGACTGAACTCACCCCCTCGACAACAGCAGACCTGACGAGGACGAAATAAAGAAGTGTGGCGATCATCGTGCTTCAGTTAGTTGTGTTGCAGTAACAGAGCTCTCCGGCTTTTAAAGACCATCTTATCTTATATGCCGTAAACGGCATCTGTGTCTTTCACAGTATTATTGTCTGACAAATGACGATGTTCATATTTGTCTTTTACACGACACTGCTATGGCAATTTACTTTATGGATTTAAGGCAGTGGGTATAAACTTGAAACTGAGAGAGGAAAAAACAGGTGTGTTTTCACATGAAATATGTCGTCAGCAGTTCAGGACTAGACTCGGCTGTGTTGTGTGATTTAGATAAACTAGCACTTAAAAAGGAATGATGTAAAGAAACACTTACGGATGTTTGTTATCAGGTCACCCAAATTATTATTGGGAAATAGGATATTAGAAAAAAAACACTTTTCTCTTTATTTATAAAAAAATATGTTTACTAACAAAAGCTAAATTAACTACAGTATGATGATCCCAAATTAGCAAGACACTATCAAGTAATTTAATTTGGGCTAAATCTGCAACCCTGTAAATATTTTGAGCAATAAAGCAATTTCTATTCAATTTATACTGATAGCAGCTATAATTTGGAATAGACAAATACATTGTATGTGTATCCTGGTGCTTTGTATGCTACGTTAAAGTGGCATTTCGAAAATTAGTGAAGCAGTATTGGTGTTAGAAAACATGACCATGCTATATGTAATAAGTTATAAGATTATATAAGTTTATATAAAGCTATCCATAACTTTACTGGAGTTCTGCAAATCGTCTAAATACTTTTTCATTTGCTTAATTCAGGGAATTGACCTAGAACCACATACACTAAAATCGTCTCTTTCTGTCTAAAAAAAAGAGTAAAATCTAAATTTTATCAATAAAATCTACATTTTATTGATGATGTCAAATATTTTACACTCACATACCCAAATAATTTGTATACAAATAATAAATAAATAAATAAACAAACATAAACAAGAGAAGAAAACCTATATGGTATAATTGACAAACTAAGATAAAAGTCCCCAGCGTTGACACCACGGAAACTTTCAGATCTTCAATTAAGCTGCATCTGAAACCCCGTACTGTGAAACTGTGTACTGCATTTGATGGGGATTGAACTTCTTGAGGGAAGCACAGCAAGAAGGTTCCCGGTTCGAGTCCCGGCTGGACCTGGAGAACATTCTGTGTGGCGTTTGACCTGCATCCCAGATAGCAACAGAGTCTGGGCCAAATCCGGCTTACATTTGGCACTCCTGATTTGATTCTGGCATTGTTGGGTTTTTTTGCTTGACTGTTTTTTGCAATCTTGTGTCAAAAGGCATTAGGCTGAGTTCTGAGTATTTTGTGTTGTTTTTTTATCAGCATCAATAACACTTTATACTTTGCATTTGCTTGGTTTCTGTAGTTTAAAAAAAACCCTAACATTTCCAAAGATACAAATATTATAAAGTGGCTGTTTTCTGACTGTTGTTGTTGGTGAGTTCTGGGGTAAAGGGGGTGGCAGTTTGGGCTCTTTTCTTGCTAGCATTTGAGGATCCTGACCCTGTTTTGGGCCAGTTATGCCTGATTTCTGGGGAAGATGTTGTGGGTGAGTTTTGGTCCGCTTCCGGTATGGATCTGGTTAACTTTTTGCAAGTAGCTTCTGGGCCAATCTTGGGCCATATTTCCAAATGATCCAAACTCACAGCCAAAAATCAACCAGATTGGTCCCAAAATCAATTTGCTATTTGGGATGTATTCCGACTGTAGGGTAAACCAGAGGAAACCCTCAAAAAAAGGCATGAAGTATACTACGCTAGACTAAACTGGGAAGGGTCACAGCACTTGCATAGTGTTACCTATTGTTAGTTAAACTGTTTCTATTGCTCTACTCATTTGTAAGTCACTTTGGATAAAAGGGTCTGCTAAATGATTAAATGTAAAACGTTAAAAAGGACAAGAAATATCATAGAAATGGTCCATGTGCTGCATTGCAAGTTTTCTGAATGTTTTCTGAAGCTTGACAGGACACCATATCCTTTTGCCATTATATCTTTTCTTTTCTTTTCTTGGTCTTCTTTTTCTTCCCTTTAACCTTTGCTTTGCTGGCGGGCTCGGGGTTTAGCGCCGGCCTGGATCGGGTCAGGTCGGCAGTGGGGCTGAGGTTGCTTCTGGCCACGCTCGGGTTAGACGTGGAGTGCAATCCGTGAGCAGAAGAGGGTTTGCTGGTCGATGGTTTAGGGATGCTGGCGAAAAGATTCGGTTGTGAATATGAGCGCATGTCTGGTGATCTCGAGGGGTTCCCGATCATGGGAAGGTGCACGTGCTCGCTGCTCATGTTATTGACGGAGTAGCGGCTGCTGTTGGACATGATTATGTGGTGCCAGGAGCTGAGCGGCGTGGCAGAGAAGTGCTGAGGGCCGCTGGAGTCCTCTTTGCCGACTCCTGGTGATATTATCATGGAGCTGCGTGGAGTGACGGCCTCGACGGCGCTCTCAAAGGTTTTGAGGATCCTGTCGCTCTTCTGCTTCTCCTTCTTCTGCCGTGACTCCACTTTACGCAGTTGGCGCCGGTGGTCTCGCATCATCTGTTTCCTAGTGTCTGCCAGGCCTCTGTGGGGTATTAAGGCAATAGTTCAGCAATAATAGGTAGGCAATGAGAATGGGAAGTGGTGTAACCGCGCTATATTTCTATGCTTATTCTAGGCGTAATGCACAGATTCAATCTTTTGACCATGCCCCATTTTATTGTCCCACCTTTTTACTTACGCCTTGACTTGTGTCTGATATCTGTATTTACATAAATCTCCCGCTCAAACTGAGGATTGCATTGGCTTTTAATGTGAGCGCCACATTTACCCTCAAGTGTTTAGGGTCAGTTGAGAAGTAAGACCTACGCTATCCCACAACCACTTCGAGTCAAAAGTGGCTAATTCGTAACACACTCACACAGATTTGTCTAAACCCACGTGACGGTTATGTTTAGGGGCGGGGTCAGGGGTAGGTCATTCGTACAAATTCATACGAATTGGCTAATTTGAAAATATGTACGATTTAGCAAAATCTTACTAATTCGGACGAGTGAGGTCATGAATTGTTACGAATTAGCCACCTCTTAAAATTCGTACGAATTCCCATGTTGGTAAGACCTAGAAGGCGAGGGTCGTGGGAATAAGTTTACACGTTTGATGAAATTGAGTTATGGGTTCAAAATATCCTCAACAAGAGAAGCTTTGAGTTTTGTCCAGTCTCCTCCTGGTCTCTGGCTATAGTTATGTTTCATGGGATAGAGTTATCTGAACTACCCCCACAGAGCCAGGTGTCCGGTTACAGGACACATTAAGACTGATAAGACTGTTTTATGACGCACATGAATTCAGAGAGAGTTTTGTCTCGTGTTGAAAAGGACAAATAACCCCTTTTAATCCTACATATTCTATATAAACATATAATTTTCCCATCTCATGATTTTCCTTTTATAGGGTCTAGCCCTTGTATTAATTCAAACTCTTTCGGATGAATGCTTCAGAATTGCATACTATGGTTAACTAAGATCACGTGTGTATCATGTTTGGCATCTATGAGTTTTTGTTTTAATGATCTGTCCTGAATAATCATTTACATTATATGTTGATACCAGTGCAACATTTTAGTATTATAAGAGTATTTAATAGGTTCTCCATTGACACTCAATCAAATGTACAATTCCTCATTGGCTCACTTAAATCCTGAGGTGTGACATCACCACACTTTGAATATCCGATCACTGATGACAAGATCACGGCCGGTAACTCTGATGCGAAGATGATGCTGAGCTTGTAGTAATGATGACACTAAAGGTTTGATGACTAATGGCCCTTAAAACATGGTGATTGATAATTATAACAACCAAACAACAGCTAATACAAACAAATTAAACATACAAGACATCCACGTGCCCCCACATGCTTGCTGAAATATTGCAGAAGCACTGATGTGTGAACATCTAGGCTATCGATCAGAGTTTATGACCTTCTGTAAGTGTGTGAACATGATCATAAAGTTACAGTATTAATGAGAACCGGTCTACAGTATGTGCTTTATCATGCATTTCATATTTAATGACTACATTATCCCAGTGTTTGTGTTAGAGCAGTAATAGACAGTTCACCTGTAGTCCACTATGCCGGTTCGGTCTCTGTCCAGTCTCTGAATCAACTCCTCAATTTGAAATCTCTCCAGGGGGATACTGGATTGCTGACGTGGGACCAGAAATACAACATATGTCAGTTGATGCTCAGGGTTAGGCTTTCTTACATAGTTTTACACTACCAGACGTTTGAACTAATCTACTCATTTTTAAACTATTTTCTACAGAATAATAGTGGAGTCTCAGATTAATACGGAGAACATTCTCAGATCACTGGCTAAAGTTCGGGCAAGGTCCTCTCAGAAGTTATGAACTAAAGTGAATTATGTGGTCTTTAACATTCAAGTGACATTCATCAAGCAACTTCATGGATTTGACTTTGTAGTTTTAGAAAAATGTAACTTTTAAAGGCAGTATCAATACCTGAACGGCTTTTCTGAAGTCTACGACAGGAACGCGCATTGTCCCATCCTTGTCGATGTTACGGAAGAAGTCCCACAGACGAAGCTTGCGCTGATCAAGGTAATCCTTCGAAAAGACAATTCAGCAAAACCGTCAGACTTGGGAAATACAAACATACAAAAATGGTCAATTTGCTAATTATAATTAAAGGGACAGTTCACTGAAAAATTACACACATGTGCAAACAAAGAAAACACAGTTTACTTCAATTCTGTATTTCACTGTAATATTCAGTTAACCAGCGGTTCTCATTTATATGCTCAAAATATGCAACTAACCACTGTTAGAACAGTAAAATAAGTAACAGTAAAAGGACATAACACTTCCTGTCTGTGATATCAGAGGTCATAAAGGTCAATTAAACTACAGAATTGGATAGAAATACTGTACAAATTACATTAAATGACATATTTATCAAAAATGAAAATATGTAAGCCTGTATTTATTCCCTTGTTTCCACCAGGGAATGAAAAATAAAAAAGTAATTATTTTTTCATAATTCTTGTTTTCTTGCAATTGCAAGTTTATATCTCGCAATTCTGATTTACAACTCACAATTGTGAGAAGAAAAATCTATACTTAATGTATTTTTATTTATGCCTTTATCTTTACATGATGTAAATGTACTGTACTGTTGATTCCTTTTTGTTTGTCCTATCAGAACAATAAATAAAGTTTATTAAAAAAAACAATAACATTATTTTGCATACTGATTGGTCTATGCAGTTATGCTGATGTTAATACATTTTATAGGAGAAGCAGACAGTGAAGTCTGCTGGCTCGGCCCTTAAAGCCAGAGCAGCACTCACACATATGTTGATCTCCTCCATGGCGGTTTTCGGTGTGTTCTTGACCACATTGATCAGAGTTAGAGCCCCCTCTACTGTCAAGGAGTTATACGCCAGCTGGAAGGAAACTATTATCAGTATATAACAGCAGGCGACACTTCAAAATATGTGTAGTTTTAGTACAATGCAAAAAAAATATTTTTGTCTAGTTTTCCAGAACAAACGTCTAAACATTCTTAAATCAAGATACATTTACTAGAGAAGCAAAATGATATTGTGTTATTTTCTGGAAAAAATATTCAAAATAGTTCCTGCAGTTAAAACAGTAGAGCGCTGGCGCTTGCAACGCCAAGGTTCGATTCCCAGGGAAAGCAACAAAACTGATAAGAATGTTTGTTAATGTTTACCTTGAAATGCCATGTAAGTCTCCAAATGCATAAATGTAAAATTAATCTTAAAACATGAACAAATATCTGTCCGCAGGGTAAACTTCATTTTTACACATTTTTAAAAAAGTAAATGTATCTTGATTTAAGAATGTTTAGATTTTTGTACTGGAAAACGACAAATACAGTAAGATAGTGTCATTTAAAGCAACACCATGGAAGTTTTCCTCTGCGGTCGCCCTACTGGTCGGAAACGAAATTGTCCATTACCGCTGTCGTAAATCATTTAGCAAGCTCGTTGTTTATCCAGCACAGGCTTTAGAATGATGTCCACAGACAACGTAGAGGATGATGTATTTCGACATCAGCAGGGGATGTACCAGGGGGTGACAAGATGGCCGCCGCACTCGCACGCAGTCAGTCAGGTCCTGCGTGGTGTGATCAAATCTCTCGAAAGCCGTCAAAAAGACCTCCGTCTTGTCTAAAACTTGCTCTTTATCTAACCGCTATCACAAGCGTGTTTTTGTTGTTATGTGTTTCACGCTTCTACAGTGTTAAAACCGAAAATAGTGAACAAATCTACCATCCAGCCAAGGAAAGTCAATATCTCTTGTATTCAAGATTTTTAAAAAATGGCCGTGTCAGGCCTCCTCCTTCAACAAAACATCAACAGACCAACACACGCAGCCCTTCTTTGGGACTTGTTTACTTCACAGCTATTTTACTCCTGGCTGGCGATGTAGAAATAAACCCTGGTCCACCACCTATGGTTGCAAATGGCTTCGTTGTCACTCAATCAATTCAACTCGGGCAATTTTCGCAGCAAATCTGGCTACCACCGGCGCAGCTCACCGGGCTACCATCACAGATAACTTGGACACAGTCCCCCGGATTACCACCGCAGCTCACCTGGGTACTGCCGGCACAGCTCGTTTCGCTACCACAGCGGCTATGCTGGATGCCTCCGCAGCTTACCGGGGTGCTACCGGCGCAGCTCACTTTCTTACCACCGCAGCTAATCTGGATACCATTGTCGCAAATCTCCAGACTACCTTCGCAGCTCACCTGGATACTACCGCCGCAGTTCGCTTGGCTACAAACGCAGCTACTCTGGATACCATCGCCGCACTTCTCAGGGCTACCTTCGCAGTCCACCTGGCTATTATTACCAGCGCAAGTTTTCTGGTTATCACCGCAGCTAACTTGGTCCCCACCAGCGCAATTTACCTGGCTACCACCGCTGCAAACTTGGACATTACCGGCGCAGCTCTCCGGGATACCATTGCAGTTAACCTGGTTATCACCATCGCAACTTACCTGGCTACCAACGCAGTTAATCCGTCCTCCACCACAGCTAATAACATGGCTACCATCGACACAGCTTACCTGGTTGCCGCCGTGCCGCGCTTGGTCATCGCCGTGGTTTGCCTGTCCTGCGGGACCTGCTTGTGGTGGTCGGGGGCGCAGGAGTGGCTTCGCGCTGCTTGAGCGATCGGCTCTGCGGACGGGCCCGGGCCTGGGCCTGGCTCGCGTGGACCGCGGGCACCGAGTGGATTGCGCGGAGGCGGCTGCATTTACGGGACTGAGCCTGCAGCATGATGCTCGACAACTGGACGTTTTCGCTGATTTGAAACATCTAGACTCTAATGCAGAACTGGCAATACCAGCTCAAGGTAGGCCCACCAGCAAACCCGTACACATCAAGGCGGTGAATGTCAAATGAAATCAACTTCACCAGGGATAAACTGTAACATTGAACATGACCAAATTATAATTAAAGCTAAACCCCGAAACCCAGTTTTTAAAAAACATAAGGTAACAAAAATTTTTCAGACATTAAGTCAGGCTAAAATGATCTGGGATCCATGCTGTAAACCTAAAGGGCTACTTGGTGGACACCTAAATATCAGAAGCATGATCCCTAAACGTGAACAGTTAGAGCATCTATTAATTCAATCAAATATTTCCTTTTTGGGACTAACAGAAACGTGGCTAACCTCCTCCTCACCGGAGGCAGCAATAACAATACCTGGATACAATGTTTTTAGAAAGGATAGAGGTCAGGGGAAGGGAGGGGGGGTTGTATTATATGTTAAGGATACCCTTACATGCAGTAAGATTGAATGGTCTGGTGACATCAACCTCGAGTGTGTGGGAGTAGACATTATACTTTCTGCAGAAATGACTTTTACAGTTATATGTATGTATCGTAAACCATCAGCTAAAATAGATTTCTATAGTAATCTTAAAACCCTGATTAATCTTACGAATGTGAAAAAAGAACTAATCTTAATAGGTGATTTTAATATTAACTGGGATAATAAGAAAGAAAGAAAAAACCTCAAACAGATAACTGATTATTTCAATTTAGAACAATTAATTAAAACGCCAACTCGAGTAACTAACCATTCCAAAACAAGAATAGATCTAATTTTTACAAACAGACCTGAAAGAATCGCTAAAACCTACAACTTTCTAACCGGTCTGTCTGATCATAATGGTATCTTCTTCTCACGAAAATTAATCAAAGCAAGATTTCGTAGCTCCAATAGTCTAAATAATTCTTTATATCATGACATTATTCCTAAAAGTCAACATTCAAATCTGGACGTAGCCCTAAACGAGCAGGATTGGGCTGCTTTTGTCTCATGTGAAAATGTTATAGATAATAGTGTCATGTTCCATAATAAGATCAAAATGGTTATGGCATTATTTATTAGAAAGGTGAGGCACAGAAAATCGAATGATAATGATATACCATGGCTTAATAATGATTGTAGGTTGCGAATGAAGGAAAGAGATCAGTTACTTAAAAGGGCAAATAAAACTGGCCTTACCTCAGATAGACAACTATTTACATCAGCAAGAAATAAAGTTATACATACAATGCGGAAGACCAAAATGAATTTTTTTATGAATATTATTGACAGTGCAAAAGGGAATGGGAAAAAAATCTGGCAAAGTATTAATAAACTAACTGGTAAACATGATAAACAAGACAATATAATCGAACTTAAAATTAATAATGTACTAGTGAAAGATCCACTCATCCTAGCATCTGAGTTAAATTTGTTTTTTAAGAACTCTGTTCAGGAAATATCTCAATTATTTATCCCATCTGAAAATGTTTCTTCTCCTATCGACTATGCACAGCCTATATTTAGGATAGGAGAAATTACAGAACCAGATGTGGCTTCCATCATTGATGAACTAAACAGTTCCAAAGCTAAGGATGAGTTTGGATTGGACACAAATTTCATCAAATTGCACAAAGAGTCCCTAGTATGTCCTATTACACATATGATAAATCTATCCATTAAACATTCTGTTGTTCCACCAGAGTGGAAGATGGCCACAATTACACCAATCTTCAAATCTGGTAGCAGAACAGACATCAATAATTATAGACCAATCAGTATTTTGCCTGTCATATCCAAAATTATTGAAAAATGGATTGTAAAACAATTAGTAAAGCATCTAAATACCTGTGGCTCTCCTTTGCATCCCATGCAATTTGGCTTCCGTGCCCATCATTCTACCGAAACAGCTGTAACTGTATTTATCGAAAAGGTCAAACATTCATTAGATACCCATCCTGTTGTTGGTGCTGTCTTTTTGGACTTGAAAAGGGCATTTGATACCGTCAATCATCAAGTGCTCTTAACTAGATTGACAAACTTCAATTTTTCCAAACAAGCCATCAGCTGGATGAGTTCCTACTTAACCAACAGAACGCACTGTGTTTCTGTTAACAATATTAAATCTCCTCACCTTGAGTGTACAGTAGGAGTTCCTCAAGGCTCTGTACTTGCACCAATTTTATTTTCTCTATACATTAACGACCTCCCTACAGTATGCCAAAACACAAATATTTTAATGTATGCAGACGATGCAGTACTCTTTACACATGCAAAAACTGCCCAAGACGCCTCTCAGGCGCTTACATCTGCACTGACTTGTGTACAGGAGTGGCTTACAAAATCATGTCTACTATTAAATCCCCAAAAAACTGTCTGTATAATGTTTTCTAAGCGGCAGACTGGTATGACACGTTCAAATATATTTTTACAACAAGAAGAAATACAGCTAGTAAATGAATTTAAGTATCTTGGCGTTGTTTTAGATCCCACACTGTCTTTTAAAAATCATGTAAAGTGTCTATCGAAAAGTGTTAAATTTAATCTTGCAAACTTCAAATACATCAGACCATCACTATCTTGTAAAGCAGCCAGAATGTTTCTTCATTCTATGATTTTCTCGCACATTGAATATTGTTTTGTAAATTGGTCACTCACAAATGCCACAACGCTTAAACCAATTGAGTCACTTTTTAAAAGAGCTTTAAAAATATTTGACAGAAAACCGTTTTCACATCACCACTGCTTAATATTACAGAAATATAACCTACTAAGTTTTGAAAATTTTCTAAAGCTTAAATATGCCTGTGCTGTTTATAAGATCCTGCATGGACTTGCCCCACCCCCTCTGAGCGAATATATTACACTAAAAAAACAGGGAGAGGGAAGAAGTGTCACCAGGGCTTCCATCAGGGGTGACTGTGTGGTGCCGTACAGGCGTACTACATTTGGACAATATGTGCTGTCAATTAAGGGGTCAGAGATTTGGAACAAATTACCACTTGTCATTAGAGAATGTCCGACATTTCCCAGATTTAAGAATCAACTTAAACAATGGCTAAAGATGCATCAAAATTGTGACCATTGAACAGTTTTCCCCTTTTTTTTTTTTTTTTTTTTTTTTTTTTTTTTTTTCCTTTCTTCTTTAAAATCGAGGTGTGTGAATGGGGAACACTGTGGAATCGTGTGGGCATGTGTATGTATATTGGGCCAGATTTGGTATTTATTGTAACTCCGGCATGAATAGCACTTTACTGTATATGTGTAATTTGTCTGAAAACAGTGGTGTCTTTTGTAATTGTAACTGATTTTTAAGGTGTTCTTTAAAACGTGTTGTATTCTATTTAAACTTGAATGTTAGTCTTGTTATGTGTTGTTTTGTGATGACCTGACGGGGGACTGCAGATGGAAAGTAGCCCTGGGGCTAATTCTGGCATATTTACATTACTGAAATGTTTATCAATATGCATTGTCCCTTTTAAATAAATAAATAAAATAAATAAATAAATCAGAAACGAAGAAAAACGCAATAATGACTATTGTAACGCTTGATGCATAGGGCTGTCACTTTTGTCAAAAAATCTTGATCGATATTTGAAGTGTTCATTGGATCGATTGTAAAATCGATTTTCCATGCTTTAACACGTTTCCAAATATAGGCAAATCCACGGACACCGCATAAGGGCGAACGTAGGCCTATAGAGGGCGCTTAAGGCGCGCACTTGAATATTTCCGATGTTTTATTGACACGAAGCTTCGTGCATAATGACAAACAGGAGTGTAACATTCTCGAAAAAAAAATAAGCAGAGTGGACTGCCATAACGTCAATGAAAAACATTAGGATTCAACATGGCTCTGTTTACGATTAGAGTTATTATTTCGATTAGCCTACTACTTAAATGTCAAACCAATTTTGCCAACATAGGCGATTGTAGCCTGAATCTGTATCTGTATGCATGAGACTTTCTGAATACCGACAGAATTCACATTTTTCATTATGCAGAAGTACAATTTGCTGTTATGTGTGTGTGTGTGTTGCTGTGTGACGCGTTCGCTACGGGCGTGACGTGACGAGCTGGACGCGCTCTGAGAGAAGGCCGCTAAAATAGATTCCCTATTTTCGTTTTCGATATTTGTGTTGGTTGGTCCGATCGATTGTGCAATCGATTTTCGAACGTAGAGTGACAGCCCTAACGCAAAGCAGTCGAATTTTGTAGTTGTTTTTGTGCTCGGGTTACTACCCGAACCCCGGGGTTTCGTAGTGCCAGTAAGGCGATACAGACCCTCTTACGACTTGATGAACCACTGATAAGATTTTGGAAACATTATATTAAGGTAAAAATGTTACATAGTGTTGCTTTAATTGCTCGTGGAATGACTTGTCGCATATGAACATGTTGCATTGCGTTTAAAACGGTGAATCCAAACTAATCTGGTATGGTATTATGAGGTGTAAAGGCGCGCACACACCTGCAGCACTCTGAGCGTGTCGTTGGCCTCCAGGCCTTTACACAGCAGGCCTGCTCCTTCATCAGTGATGCGGTTGTTGTTGAGGTCCAGGTGCACCAGTGTGTTGTTGAACTTCAGCGCTTCACCCAGAGCTAACGCGCCCTCGTTCCCAAAGCCGTTCCACGAGAGGTCCAAGTGCTTCAGTGTCGTGTTGACCTGATGAGAGGGAACTCTGGTCATCATTTACACAATGCGACACTGAAAAGCATGGGATCCTTCAGAAAATAATGGGGAAAAAACCCACAAAACAATTTTACTTTTACTGTAAAATATGTTTGTAATCACTGACCGTAAAGAATGTCATTAATCTTGTACATACGCTTAAAATAACACGCGGCTGTTCTGTAAACTTTTTTATATTTCTTTTTCTTGTCAAAAAGTTCAAAATCTCTGAAAACGAGACTTCCATACGATTTCCACGACGCATGCGCGAGAATTGCGATCTCCTTCAACTACTTCAGTTCAGTCGCGCATGCGTCGTGGAAATCTAAGGAAGTCTTGTTTCAGGCCAACAAGGAAGAAAAGGAATAGTCGAATAAACTCGTTATTTTTGTTTGTTTTTTCGCACAAAAAGTATTCTCGTCGCTTGATAAACTTATAGTTGAGCCACGGTAGTCACTTGGGATATTTAAACATTTTCTTCATTGACTTTCTGGGCCGTCAAGAGCCAGTCCCTTAGGAAGTCTATGTGGTAGTTATACAGCTCTCAAATTTAATCAATAATTAATGTGTTCCGAAGACGAACGAAGGTCTTACGGGGTTGGTACAGCATGGGGGTGAGTAATTAATGACTTAATTTTCATTTTTGGGTGAACTAACCCTTTAATGCTTTGGCAATATTGTATGTAAACACATATTGGGTAAAAATCAATTGAAACATATTGGGAAAAATGATTTCTGCCACTGCTGAACTGACCAACACACAGAATATGACGAATATCAAACACTTCATGAGACCGTCCTAAACCTGCCGGAGTACCAACACAATACTCACACTCAGCAGCACATCGCCTAACAATCGGTATCGAGAAAATATATCGAGATATAATTTGTCAATATTACACATCCAGGATAATGCATCAAAATGTAATGGAGAGTGACCCGTGTGACCCGTATTACATCTGTAGGGCTGTAAGGTGTGTGTGTGTGTGTGTCCGCACCTTCAGTCCAGCACAGAAAGCTACAGCTCCTTTCATCCGCAGATGATTCCAGCTCAGATCAAGAACTTCTAAACCGTCATTATTTGCTGCATGAACAGACATTTCATTATTTAGAATCAAAAATAAGAAATAATGAAAAATAAAAATTATGATAAAAATAAAATGGCACTGTTCGTCCGACTGTTACTGTACTTCATTTTATTCTAAATGGTTTTAATTTACTGTATTTTATTTTTATCATAATTTTTATTTTTCATTATTTCTTATTTTTGATTCTAAACTGTTTTAATTATTCTGGTTTCTTTTGATTATTTTAATTTCTTCTATGTAAAGCACTTTGAATTGCTATCGTGTATGAAATGTGCTATATAAATAAACTTGCCTTGCCTATTGTGCTTGCTTTAATTCTACTGTGCGTTTAATGCTATCGCATCACACTCGTGTGTGTGTGTGTGTGTTATTACCGATCATCTGGCCCAGATGTTCACCGCCTCGGCCGCAGAACTGGTTGTGGCTCAGATCCAGCTCCTTCACCCTGTAGTTGCTCTGGAAAGACACAGATCAGATGTTTCTATTCTCAAAAACAAAAGTTCAGTTTGTTTATACACAATTTCTTGCCATGCAACTTTTGTTTTTACGCATTGGGTCTTAAAGGCGCAGGGGGTAATTCGGAGCAGTGCTCAATCTCTGATAAAACATGCTATCATGATGCTTTGTGCTCTTTTAAACCAGTTTACACCATGTTAAGCTAAACTGAAAACACTAAGAAAGGGAAAATGCCATTTTAGTTTTGGTAATATAACGTAATGTGCTTTAAAAATGCATTTTCCATCATAACATTTTCTATACAGTGATTTTCTACAATACTTACCGAAAAAGATTCTGCAAACCATTTGGCATCATGTTCAGCAAATTTATTCCCTGTGAACATAAACATCAGTGTCAGCGTGAATCAGGTTCGGTGTGTGTGAGCATGTGGTACTGTGCAACAGAAGCTCGTTTCTAACATACAAGTAACACAATCATGCTTTAGTAAATCATTATGACTTTATGAGATAGTATGTCAATTTCGACTATCCCATAACTATGACCTAGTATGTCATAATTGACTTATTATCTCATAATTATGAACTAGTATGTCAGTCTCACTTTTTATCTAATAATTAACTTTTTATGAATTTTGACTGATAATTATGATGAAATATAATAATTCATGACTTAGTCAACTTTGAATTAAAATCATAATTAATTAATCATGATTTTTAGATAAAAAGTAAAAAAAAAAAAAATGATTGTCATAATTATGAGAAACCTACTTAAATATGACCATTATTATTATGCAATTATTATACAATTATACCAAGCCATAGTTTGTCAATTTTTACTTTTTATCTCATAATTATAACTTGGTATGTCATAATTGACTTTATCTCATAATTATGAATTATTCCCTTTTAATCTCGTAGTTATGACTTTTAATATCAGAATTTCAAATTTGTTCGCAAGATTTACCAAAGCAAGATTTGTTTCTTATTAGACAGAAATGGGCTTCCATATTATGCACAAATACATGAAATACCTGAAAGTTTTAATGATTTAATGGAAATGTTTTCCAAGAGCATTTTAGCAACACACTCCGCTCCAGCGGACTGAAGGTGATTGTCGGAGAGATCCTGCGAGACACCAGACGTCACATGTTAACACTTTGCTTCCCTCTAGTGGACCGAAGTATTGCAACAGGTAAAGGAGATGAGGAGACAGACTCACGAGGTTCTGAATGGTGAAGTTGGCCCTCAGCATCTCCATGAAGTATCTGGCCCCTTCGGCGAGCAGATAGTTGTCTGCTAACTCCAGCGTTGAGGTGTGTGTGTCTGTCTGAACACACAGAGAGCGAGCGTCAGCATCACCACATCAGCTTTAGTCCAGCTAACTCTGTCTTACCACGAGGGCGATGGCGAGGGCTTTTCCTCCCAGCGGCCCGAGTCCATGGTGGTTGAGGTTAATGGTGGCACAGCCCAGGTGTCTGAGGAAATATCGGACTGGAACCACACCCACCAGTTTACAGGCCCGCAGGTATAACGCTTCAGTCGACAGATCCTGCCGGACGCGCTTCAGCTCGGATACTGTACACACACACACACATGCTTTCTCATCGTCATCATCATCTAATGCTGATGAAGTAATAATGCAAGGTAAAATTCATTGTTTAAGAATATTACTGCATTTTTTTCTTCGTTATGTTTTGATAAATGTCTACTTATATACAATACAATTCTGTTCAAAAGTTTTGTATTTTTAAGAGAAGTCTATTATGCTCACCAAGGCTGCATTTATTTGATTAAAAATACACAAAAAAACAGTGAAATACACTCACCTAAAGGATTATTAGGAACACACACTAATACTGTGTTTGACCCCCTTCCGCCTGAATTCTCCGTGGCGTTGATTCAACAAGGTGCTGAAAGCATTCTTTAGAAATGTTGGCCCATATTGATAGGATCGCATCTTGCAGTTGATGGAGATTTGTGGGATGAAGCTCCCGTTCCACCACATCCCAAAGATGCTCTATTGGGTTGAGATCTGGTGACTGTGGCGGCCATTTTAGTACAGTCAACTCATTGTCATGTTCAAGAAACCAATTTGAAATGATTCATGGTGCATTATCCTGCTGGAAGTAGCCATCAGAGGATGGGGACATGGTGGCCATAAAGGGATGGACATGGTCAGAAACAATGCTCAGGTAGGCCGTGGCATTTAAACGATGCCCAATTGGCACTAAGGGGCCTAAAGTGTGCCAAGAAAACCATTACACCACCACAACCAGCCTGCACAGTGGGTACAAGGCATGGTGGGTCCATGTTCTCATTCTGTTTACGCCAAATTCTGACTCTACCAACAGAAATCGAGACTCATCAGACCAGACTCATTTTCATTTTTCAGACTCATTTCACTTCAACTGTCCAGTTTTGGTGAGCTCTTGCAAATTGTGGCCTCTTTTTCCTATTTGTAGTGGAGATAAGTGGTACCCGGTGGGGTCTTCTGCTGTTCAAGGTTGTGTGTGTTGTGTCTTCTTCACAAATGCTTTTCTGCATACCTCGGTTGTAACGAGTGGTTATTTCAGTCAAAGTTGCTCTTCTATCAGCTTGAATCAGTCGGCCCATTCTCCTCTGACCTCTCGCATCAACAAGGCATTTTGGCCCACAGGACTGCCATCGCATACTGGATGTTCATTCTTTGTAAACCCTAGAAATGGTTGTGTGTGAAAATCCCAGTAACTGAGCAGATTGTGAAATATTCATGCCACGCTCAAAACTGCTTAAATCCCCTTTCTTTCCCATTCTGACATTCAGTTTGGAGTTCAGGAGATTGTCTTGACCAGGACCACACCCCTAAATGCATTGAAGCAGCTGCCACGTGATTGGTTGATTAGATAATTGCATTAATGGGAAATTGAACAGGTGTTCCTAATAATCCTTTAGGTGAGTGTATTATTACAATGTAAATCATCTGTTCTCTATGTGAATATATAGTAAAGTGTAATTTATTCCTGTGATCAAAGCTGAATTTATCATCATTACTCCAGTCTTCAGTGTCACATGATCCTTCAGAAATCACTCTCAGATTTTTTTCGACACACATTACGTGATTACCCTCCTCCTCAGTCAGCATGGCATTCGGACTCCCTCGAATCAGAATAAATCCTGGAATTATGTTATACATTAAAATCTTGAATTATTGAGATGTGCAATACATCCATGTTATCCATGCTCGGCCTCATGGATGCGCAGGGAACCACACCGCCAATCCAAACCGTATGCTAACTGTCAATCGACAAGTCCTGACAGAAATACGTCGATCTAATGCTACAACTAGAAAATATGATTAACATGTTGTTTATGGGTAATTTAAATACTGGAAATGAAACGTATTATTATAAACCGATTTAGTTGAATTATACTGCATTTAATTACTTAAAGGACTACAAATCGGCATCCTGTTTGGTATTGGATTTCAGCTCGGCACACAAGCCTGAAGGCCGATTGAGATGTCCAGCGTCTCCAGTCTTACCCGGAGCGTCAGCGTCCGCCTCGTCCTCCAGCGTCTCCTCGTGTGGATCCTCATGTTCGGTCAGACTGAGGGAGTCCAGAGAGAGGCTGTGGACGCCGATGCCGTCAGCCTTCATCTTCTACACACACTTCCACTGCGCTCTTCCTGGTGTGTGTAGGAACATGAAGCTGGCGTACGTGTCTTAGCAACAGGTGTACATGTGACACCCGCACTCGTGCTGGAATCCGGTGAGCGAAGAGAGAGAGAGACATTAAAAATGCATGTCAGACACAGTGAGAGAGAGACTCACATTCCTACAGATAAAGCCATAGTGACAATAACACAGTGAGATTAAACGCTTGAAAACTGTGGGGAAAATCCACGTTTTAATGGTGTTTATGTGTGTATGTGGTGTGTTTAATCCGCTTCAACACACACCGTGTGTAAGTTCATAAGTATTTCCTCCTTAAAACTGCAGTGAACCAAAGACAGCCTCGCTGGTGTTTCTGACGTCACAAGAGGTAAAACGATATAAATACTGTTGGTTTTTTTCACAAAAACTGCTCGTTTCGTGTCTTAGGCCATCAATGTGTACTTACATTTACAAGTCATTAAATCATGTTTAATTTTGACTTCTCTGTGCTGCTCTTTGGTGGACCCCCTTAGCCTCCAGTGTATGACTGATAGACAACAACGGTTTGACTGAAAAATGTCAACATTGAAAATACTGTGGAAACAAAGACGCCTACATCTCGGATGCCCTTGAGGTAAGATAAAACATATCAAAAATTAATTTCAAAGTGAACTATCCCTTTAAGATGTCTAGTGCTCCACCCGCTGTGCATCAGGAACAGACTCCAGACAATGCCTTTGAATATGCTTTAATCACAAGAAGTGTACAGGAGTTTATATATAGGATAAGTACAGTAAAGGTAATATAACGCATCACTCAACACCATCACAGCATTTTTCTCTTATATGATTGGTTCAACATTTGCCAATTCAGAAACCCCCTTTCTCTCTTACTGTCAAAGCAAACTTAGATCTACTTAAAACATGGTTGTTGGTTTGTTGATTACTCAATCTGTCATGGAACTATTATATTTCAATAACTGTCTAGCCATAATTTTTTTTAAACATTGTCAAAGTATCTTGTAGAGTAGAAGTCAAACTTAAGTACATTTGTAATCTGATGCCTGAACAGTATAATTGACTACCGCTGGATATATATCTTAAATGAATACATTTGAGCAAATAATTGTGTATATAGAATTCAGGTGTTAATTAATGTGGAATATGTTGGAAAGAAGGGAAGGATGCTGGCGGCGATCTCAGATTGCTGTGAGTGTCAGCGATAAAAGAGAAGCACGGCTGCTTCGGTGATCTCTTTAGAAGCGCTCCATCCCGCATTAGTACCGTAGCCGTCCAAGTCGAATGACGCAAAGTCCCCGCACTGCCTAGGGGCCGCCTCAGGAAAGTGTCCACCTCCACCAATACAGAACTGCAACAATACGAGGACATTACTGACACTTCTTAATATGACAAAGATTTATTTACATTGTAAATGTATCACTTTTACAAATGCTGTCCATAAACATTGATTTATAAATAATCCAGAATATTATGTTTACTCACGTGTTCAGTGTTGCAGGCGATTGGTTTGGCACCTGAACAAAGAGCACTGGCTGCCCTTTCATTGTTGAAGACTCTGAATGAGATGAATCCAGGCTGAAAATTTGCTGGGAAAATGTACAGAATACACAGTATCAGTGATGATAATCTGTCAATATACGTCCATGAACACTTTCATTAAAAACATTGGAAAAATATTGACTCGAGGGATATTGGCTAGGATGTTTTTAAGCAGTGGTGGAATGTAACGAAGTACAAATACTTTGTTACTTTACTTAAGTACATTTTTCACGTATCTTTACTTTACTTAAGTAGAATAAATAGTGCATACTTTTTACTTCGTTACATTTTGCAGCAATTATTCTACTTTCTACTCCACTACATTTCTACAACTTCTGTTATATTTTCATAAAATTTTCTGATCAGTTTTTCCCCTGCCAAACCGTAATCTGACCGTCCGTTCGTTGCACGTTGCACCAGTGACGTTTGGTTGCCATAGATACATCAACCCGGTCACACTAAATGCGTCTATTGTGCAATTTATACGCGAAAATGTGTTTTTACGTGCATAGGAAACGCACCGTGTGTAATATACGTTTAGTTAGGATTATGGCAAGCCAAGAGGTTCAGAATTACATCATAAATCAATCGTGTTTATTGCCAAACATAGTTATTAACGTACAGTATAGTAAGGATAAGCATGATGCATATGTTGCCTAATTGCAAACTTGTTTCAGAAATGGTGACAACTATTTTTTTCCATCATCATTATTGAACATCATAGGAGTGTTAGGATGAATGAGTTAGAATTAAATGTTTTATTAATCATTAGAAAATAGACATTAAGAGAATAAATTGTTATGCAAGTACTTTTACTTTTAATACTAAAAGTACATTTAAAATCAGGTACTTTTTTACTTAAGTATGTTTGTCATTGTGTTACTTCTACTTTTACTAAAGTAAATATTTATCTGGTACTACTTTTACTTAAGTACTGAGATTCAGTACTTCCTCCACCACTGTTTTTAAGTGAGTTGCTTTAATAAAGGATACATTAAAAAATAGCCATACTTCTTGCATTGGGACCATAGAGATTTTTGTTTTAATCCATATTGGATTTCGCAGCCATCTTGGTCTCAGGGACCATTGGCTTGGGCGCCCTGGCTAAATCATTTCAGTATGCCCTCAGCTACATCTGTGCCAAATTTGGTGCTTGTATATGAATTTGCGCGAACAATGGGATGTAAGGCCCCATTCTTCAGCCCAAACTGCTTTTTTGGACAGCGGCCATATTGGAATTGGAGGATCAAGGGGTCCAAATATACTGGGTCATAAATATAAACATTTCTATGCGTTTCCCATGATCAATTAAGCTGAAAAACATATCAAGTTTGTATTTGTAACTCATGTGGTTCAAAAGTTATAGCCGGAACCCTTTTCGGGCAGCGGCCATATTGGATTTGGCCGCCATCTTGGCCCCGAGGGTCGCAGGCTCCGGCGCCCTAGCTAAATCATTCCAGTATGACCTGAGCTACGTCTGTGCCAAATTTGGCGCTTTTAGGTGAATTTGCGCGAAATTACCTATTTATGTGCTTAAGGCCCCCAACTAGCCTATGTATGTTGATATGCGTGGTTGCTAAGGGTGTTGCTAAGGGCGCAGTGATAAATAAGGGCGCGTTGGGTGAAGCGGTCATAGCCGTGTTTGTGAATAAAGCACAGCTATTGACCAATCAGAATCAAGGATGGGAACTAACCGTTTTATAACAGCATTTCAATGGCTACTTTAATAATAATAACAATAATACATTGGATGATGCATTATAATTCCGTGCATGCGAAGCTCATCACTAAATACTGTATGCAAATCCTGATGCAAATGTAGCCCTACGCAGTTTTGATGACGTCGTCATCCATAAGTCATCCAATATTAAGACCGATCTTGTACTCTCTAAATATGAAGAGACGAGTTCAGATACAAAAGCCTCTAAATGCCATTTGAAATTTTCTTCTAGAATGGTCATTTTTATCAAGCTTGTGTATTTAAGTTCAGTAATTTCACCTAAATGACAATTAATAGGTAATCTTCATTGCCATTTAAGTGAAATTACTGAACTTAAATATACAAGCTTGATAAAAATTATCATTTTAGAAGAAAATTTCAAATGGCACTTTTCATATGTTTAATTAGCATCCTTTTATGTAATTTGGTCTTGTTTAATTTTTTATTAATTTTATGGTTATTGTTTGCCTTGTATGTCTGTTTTAGTAGTGTGGAATAAACAGATGTTGTTGTATTATATTGTTAATACTGAATAAAAATAAATAAAGTCATCCAATATTACCGACCAAAAACAGCTTTAATGAACTCATAACATTGCAAACAACAATAATTTCAGGCACAAAATACATAAAAGATACTGTAAATAGAACGAATGCAATTTAATGAAAATTAATGAATGTTTTTAAACAATAACGTGACAGACGGTCACCGGTTGGCCGTGACGTCATCCCGCTGGGCTGTTTACGTTCCTCGTTATGAATAAAGTTTGTCCCCGTGCTCCTGTGAATCATGATAGCGAGTGTGATGTTGTACGGGCTCTATCCGCTCTCGAGGTTCATCGGTAGACTCGCAGGTAAGACGTTCACGGAGTTTCGTTGCGTTTGCCGTTTGTTGATGTTGCAGCACGAGCACGTGCGCGCCCGAGGCTAAACGAAGCCCAACAGCGTCCGTGAGACGCGCAACCTGTCGACGTTCGTGTTGAATAATGGATATAAAGTGTGGCGACAGAATATGCGATCAGCAGATGCTGACATATAGTTGGGTTCTGCAGGCCTTCATTTATGTGGACGCTGTCAATCAATCATCCATCTGTCAATGCTGTCAAACCGCCCAATCAAATCATTTCTAACATAACCCATCAGGTGCAGTGATGGTGTTAGGTGGGAATGCCATGCTACTTTGATTTAGGAATAGTCCAGGCTGGTTGTCACACTTTTTATTCAAGTAAATATTTATAAGTGTTGATTTATGATTTAATGTTTCTCAGAAACCTATTAATTCTGTTCAGTTTATTTTTTCCTGACCTCTGAATTTATGGTTAAATTAGCCAAAATGTTAGTAATATAAATCAAGTTTAATTAATTGAAATCATAAAACGTATACAATTTAACTACAATTTATTTAAGGTAAAAAACAACAACAAAACAAACATTTTAAGAGCCCTAAGAAATTCAGTGTAAACAAAAATGGACACTTGTTTTTTGTTTGTTTTTTATGGAAAAGTGCAGTATTTATTATAATAATTATTTTTATTTATTTATGTGCCTCGTAATCTTTTAATCAGTGATGAGAACTCTGCCCACTCCCATGAAGCACTGCAGATGATGTAATCAAGTCAAAATATATAGTTTTTTTCTATGGTTTTATTTAGTTTATCATTCACAATGCTTCATGGGATTGCAGTTCTTTCCTCACTAAAGTTCACAGTCATGTGTCTTCTTGTCTAATTTGGCTTTTTTGCTTCAGTTGTAAGTTTGTAATGTTGTGGTTCTCCTCATAGCTGATTGTTTTGATTCATGGTTTATAACCAGTGTGGGGAATGTCATTTAAAAAAGTGATTAGTTTTAGTTGCTCACTACTTGTTTCAAGAATTATTAACTGAATTGCCAGGGAAAGTAACTATTTGTGTTACTGTTTAAATATTATACGTCAAAGAATTTGGATTTTTTTTTAGCAGTTTTCACAGTTGAAATACAGTAAGTAGAACAGACAGGTGCTTGTACATACCTTCTGTATTTATTGCATGCGACAGACAGCAAGAGGTGTATCCTGCACTTCAAGTGTTATCTTTAATACGTTCAATTATGCAATTGAATTGTTGATTCAAAATCTGAACGTTGGATCATGACAAGTTCCCCATGTGACAACTAGCCCCAATCTGCCCTTGGCTCGGCAATTTTTCAATGATAATATTATTAATTGCTATTAATAACACTATTAATAATCTTTTTCCATGAAACTCCAACCTGCACCATTGTACTGCAAAAAAAACCCAAACTGAATCTGATGTAAATGTCTCTTCCAAGTGTGTCCTAGTCATGGAAATGACACTATGTGAAATCAATTTCCAAATAGATCTGTCCGTCACTTTTCTACTTCCCCTCGACAGGATTGTGGCGCAAGGCACCGTGTGTGTATGTTAATGGGAAAGAGGTGTGGGATGGTGGCGGCGCTGTTTCTGGACCGCAGCAGACGGGCCTGTCCCTGCAGTGGCTCAGCGCTGGAGACACCGACACCGGTCCCGATCCAGACCACACGGACACGGAGAGTCCTCAGGGAGCGCTGGAGGTGCCGTAAAGTCCATCATTTTATCCCTTAACTCATCTTCATCACCAAAATATTTCAATGTTTTTTTTTTCCTTTTTCCATGTAACTCGACACCCTCGCCTCATTTACTATGCACGGTTCTATGAATATGCAAATGAGCCCCGCCTCCACTCACTCAGAGATCCACTGGTTGACGATCACACGTTGATCTGATTGGTTACAAGGTGGTTTGTGACGTCAGAAACACCAAAGCGTGTTTTTGAGACTGTCTTTGGTTCACTGCAGTTTTAAGGAGGAAACACTCAGCAATGCTGTCCACTTATCAACTTACACACGGTGTGTGTTAAAGCGGATTAAAAACACCACATACACACATAAACAACATTAAAAGCTGGATTTACACATCAGGGGGACTTTAAATATTTTAAGTGGTTTAAGAAAAGTCTTAATTATAATTTCAAGAGGTCTTAAATTTGGAAACAGAAATCATGATGTGGCTTAATATGAGTGATTATTAAACTTCTAAAGGTGATGATGTAATTATAAGCGCTGCATGTTTCGGAGTAAAAATGCTGCGCTGTCGCTCGTTCCACAGGCTCGTGGTTTCAGAGAAGTTCACAGTCAGTGAAAACTGCACGTTAATGCCAAACTATCACTTATTGATCTCTGATGAATTATGACATTGTTTACTTTATAGTGTTTATATATTACATGCAAAATTGTGGCCTTTTGGAGTAATTAGCTGTTCTAATTTGCTTCGGGTTTACCAGGGTAACTGCTGTATTCCTGCTGGAAATCACCTTTAGACGTTTAAATATCAAATATCAACACTGTTAAGCCATATCACAGTTCCTTTGTTTGAGACTTCTTGAAGTTTTCTTAACCGGTGGATCAAAGAGAAGCAAATGTGCACGCTGATGCAATACATATATAATATATCATGCATAATCATGCATTTTAAATATAATCATCAGAATATAAGTATAATCACTTATTATTTTGACTCAAAAAAGAAGCAAATTTGCTTTCTGAAAATCTAAACGTATAATATATGATGCATTTTTAATGTAATCAACAGATTATAAATATAATAATTTATCATTTCAACTCATTCCGTAAAAAAATGGTTTAAAGGACGAAATGTGAGGTTTACGTGTTTTTGTCTAAATCTGTAGTTTTCACACTCATAATGCTGCTCTACTCCCCGTCCATGTGATGATAATTTAATGCAGGTCTTAAACTCCGATTTGAAAACCCTGCAGATCTCCTGCATGGACACGTGTGTGAACGAGGGAAGCGCAGACGATGGGAAAGCGGCTTTGGGGCTGGAGGAAGAAACTGATGACCGTGACCCCGTGATGAACGAGTCTGTGTTTACCAGAACTGAGTGTGAGCGTCGGTCTGACATGGACCAACACGGCTGTGATGAGCGTATGATGGACTCCCCCGTGTCTGACATGTTCCTGGGCTCTGGCTCTGGACGCGAGGCTCTTGTCCACGCCGGCAGCGGCAGCGCAGTGTTTGACCTGGCGGCTCTGCTGGCAGACTCTCAGACGGCAGCGGATCCCCTCGGCTGGCACTTCCCCTCCGGCCTCGGCCTGTCTCAGACGTGTTATTGCCCATACGTGCAGTTCCCTGCCGGCAGCTACTATCCTGCCTTTCAACACAGTGACAGTATCGAAGGTGGGATTCTCAGATTTATCCTGCACAATACACACTCTTCCAGACTGAAGTTTATAGACGCTCTGAATAAAAGTGTCTGCTTTGATTTCTGAAATATGTAAAAACGATTAATCACTAAACGATTAAACTAAACGATTAATCGCATCCAAAAAAAAGTTTGTGTTTACATATGTTTTGTGTATATATAAATACACCCACATGCATGTATAAATTTAAGAAATATTTGCAATATGGTAATTATATAATTTATATCAAAATTAAAATATTTTATATATAAATAACATATTTTTCTTAAATATATATTCATGTGTGTATTTATACACAAAATAATTATACACTGTACACAAACATATATTATATAAACACAAACTTTTATTTTGGATGCGATTAATCGTTGCACAGTCTTGAAACACAGTTTTTTCATGTGCTGGTCAGGTTTGAGATTTTGCCATAACTACGCGCCTTCTTTCAGACTAGTGGAAAGAAAACATCCAAAACGCACAAATAAGTGTTTATTTTTTTTTGCACTTTATCTATTTCAATTACAATCAGCTTTACACACACCAAACCTTACAGTTTAATTCATATCTATATTATGCAGGTTTGTTCATAAAACATTCCCCTGGTTTATAGAACATTTTATTCCTAAAAACACTGGGAAATGTTATGTTTCTGCCTTTTATTTATGGAGGGATAAAAAGAGAAATCCAAAATCCCCTCTGGATTTTTTTTTTTTTTTTTTTTTTTTGATAACTCTAATATTTTAACAAATAAAACAAGAATTGTGAACTTGGCTTTATCCAATGTTCAGATTTCTGTTCTGGAAATTTATACAAATTAATGCATATTTAATTAGATATCATTTTTATATTTAAACACTTCATAAAAGCAATAAACAATTGTTTTAATGTACAGTACATGATTAATCAAATAGGTAAAACTATGTAATTTTTTAATTTGATCTCACATAAATGCTGTTCTTTTGAACTTTCTATTTATCAAACATTCCTGAAAATTAAAATGTGTCAGTTTTCACAAAAATATGAAGCAGCACAAAATTGATCATATGAAATATGGGAATAATAATAATAAAGAACCCAAACGTCTGACTGGTGAAGTTACACATAGATATCATCTGTTAAATGATTGTGTGTAGACGTCTTAATCTTCCATTTAAATATCCCTTTTCCTCTTTCCAAGTGACGTGGCGAGTGTGGGAGGAGTTCAGCGAATCTGCCTGTGTGGACGCGGCTGATGCCTTTGACTTCAGCGTCATGTCCTACAATATCCTGGCCCAGGATCTGCTGGAAGCGAACCCCGATCTGTACACACACTGCCCGGAGGAAGTGTTGGCGTGGGACGTCCGGCTCCGGGCCATCCTGAAGGAGCTGCAGACCTGGCAACCTGACGTAAGGCCACCGGCAACCCTGAACACAGACACGTGACGGACATTGCTTCTAATAGAGAGCGTTAGTGCCGTCCACCTCTTCAGCACTGCTGGATCCATTCATGTTTCTATTGGGGATATTAGTCCTTGTTTAAACCATTATAAGCCATGAACAAACCTACGGAGGCGTATTGCATTCACTTGAAGAAAAACAATCTACTCTATTTTTCTGAATTAACGAGTTAATTATTCATGGAATTTTTTTTTGCTCTGTTTTTCTGAATTAACTCGTAAATTCAGAAAAACAGAGCAAAAACTTTTTTTCTCACGAAAAATTAACTCATTAATTCAGAAAAACAGAATAAAATGTTTTTTCTCATGAAAAATTAACTCATTAATTCAGAACAACAGAGCAAAAACTTTTTTCTCATGAAAAATTAACTCATTAATTCAGAAAAACAGAATAAAATGTTTTTTCTCATGAAAAATTAACTCATTAATTCAGAAAAACAGAGCAAAAACTTTTTTCTCATGAAAAATTAACTCATTAATTCAGAAAAACAGAGCAAAAAAAATTTTTCTCACGAAAAATTAACTCATTAATTCAGAAAAACAGAGCAAAAACTTTTTTTCTCACGAAAAATTAACTCATTTATTCAGAAAAACAGAATAAAATGTTTTTTCTCATAAAAAAATTAACTCATTAATTCAGAAAAACAGAATAAAATGTTTTTTCTCATGAAAAATTAACTCATTAATTCAGAAAAACAGAGCAAAAACTTTTTTCTCATGAAAAATTAACTCATTAATTCAGAAAAACAGAGCGAAAACTTTTTTCTCACGAAAAATTAACTCATTAATTCAGAAAAACAGAATAATTTTTTTTCTCATGAAAAATTAACTCATTAATTCAGAAAAACAGAATAAAATGTTTTTCTCATAAAAAAAATAACTCATTAATTCAGAAAAACAGAATAAAATGTTTTTTCTCATGAAAAATTAACTCATTAATTCAGAAAAACAGAATAAAATGTTTTTTCTCATGAAAAATTAACTCATTAATTCAGAAAAACAGAGCAAAAACTTTTTTCTCACGAAAAATTAACTCGTTAATTCAGAAAAACAGAGCAAAAACTTTTTTCTCACGAAAAATTAACTCATTAATTCAGAAAAACAGAATAATTTTTTTCTCATGAAAAATTAACTCATTAATTCAGAAAAACAGAATAAAATGTTTTTCTCATAAAAAAAATAACTCATTAATTCAGAAAAACAGAATAAAATGTTTTTTCTCATGAAAAAATAACTCATTAATTCAGAAAAACAGAATAAAATGTTTTTTCTCATGAAAAATTAACTCATTAATTCAGAAAAACAGAGCAAAAACTTTTTTCTCACGAAAAATTAACTCATTAATTCAGAAAAACAGAATAAATTTTTTTCTCATGAAAAATTAACTCATTAATTCAGAAAAACAGAGCAAAAACTTTTTTCTCATGAAAAATTAACTCATTAATTCAGAAAAACAGAATAAAATGTTTTTTCTCATGAAAAATTAACTCATTAATTCAGAAAAACAGAGCAAAAACTTTTTTCTCACGAAAAATTAACTCGTTAATTCAGAAAAACAGAGTAGATATTTTTTTCTTCAAGTGAATTCAATACGCCTCCGTACAAACCAGCTTTGATTTGAAGCAAAAAAGTAAAGTTTAAATAGCAATAGATTCTATTTACACTGTAAAAATAGCAGTATTTTCTTTGCAATTAGTATAAATGGTAGTTAGATGCTATTTATACTTATAAATAGTGGCAGATACTATTTGCAACTCAGTGTTGTTGTACATTAAATGGTGCGCAATAACAACTTAGAGTGTAAATTATTAGATTTATTCAAATTATTAAATGGATTGTGCTTTATTGGCACAATAAAGCCCTTCCTAAACCTAGCACCCTAACCTTAGACTTTATTATTAAACACAGTAGACTCTTGATTTCCACTTTTTTAGCATTTTCTTCATTTTTATTGAAAGTAAATGCCTCTCTGATCTGATCTGTGATTGAGAGTTCGGCAAAAGGTGGATTTGAACTCGGGTGTATTTGCGTCAAAGCTCTCCTGACTCCCACACTATAGAGAGCCTAAGTCCCGTCCCCCCGCTTCCGGCTCATGGGACCTTATTTCGGAAAAAAATATGAATGGTAGTCAATGGCGAGAGATAACTTATCTTTTTATTCCGTCTGAACGGTGCCCTCAATTACACATAATCGATAATGCGAACAGATGGCGTTAATGTTAACGGCAACTAACGGCCACAGAGCTCAGAACAAGTCTGAACAAGTTTAAGTTATTTTCACTATGGAGAAAATGAATGGAGTTTTAACCGTCAGACTCACAGATCCGCCATGTTTGTATTTATTTTTTGTGTGTTTGTAGTTTGTAGTAGACCCAACTGTTGCACTAACGTCAATATTTCCTCTCCTGCACAGATTATTTGTCTTCAAGAAGTTCAAGAAGACCACTTTCATCAGCAGATGTGTCCTGTCCTGACTGAGATGGGTGGGTGCCGAACATAAACCGCTCCAGAGTTATTCTGGGATACACTGATAACACAACATGAGCATGATCTTCCCCTAATGAGGAACAGCCTGCAGAAATACTAATGCATAGTGAATAAATGACCCGATGTGTAGATGAAGTCAAGTCAAATGTATTTATATCGAGCTTTTCTGCAGTTTTGATGCTTTTATATCTTAATCTTAATATCTTCGTGCCTCTATAGTGACATTTATCAGGCTATTGCTGTGCGACAATTTAGTTACATTTTACAATGATGCAAACAATCATGCAGATTAAATTTTTAATTTAGTATATAAAGCTTTAAAGTCTATAAAGCCTCTTTGTCATTAACAACTTGTGCAAATTATTCAATTCCAACAAATTTTCCACATGCACCCCTGAGTGTCAGACAGGCGGTGAGTTAGTTTTCTCTTAAACACTCATTCAATCACGTGTTTTTGTTCATCAAGGTTACTCCTGCATCTACAAACGACGCACCGGACCCAAGACGGACGGCTGTGCGGTGTGCTATCGCAGCGAGCGCTTCACCCAGCTCTCCGTGCGGCTGCTGGAGTTTCGGCGGCCCGACTGCGAGCTGCTGGATCGGGACAACGTGGCCATCGTGCTCCTCCTCCAGCCGCGGTCAGCGCTCAGCCCCGTGTGTGTGGCCAACACACACCTGCTGTTCAACCCCCGCAGAGGAGACGTGAAGCTGGCGCAGCTGGCCATCGTGCTCGCGGAGATCGACGTCATGGTCCAGAACTGCAGGAGTGCGGGAAGGCGCTGTGAGGTGGTCTTCTGTGGGGACTTGAACGCTTTACCCAGCAGCCCTCTGTGGAGGTTCATCAGCAGCGGACAGCTCTACTACTACGGGTTACCCGCCTGGATGGTGAGTGACCCGTTTACTTACTCGTGGGACGGCAGCGGTTTCACTACTGGACACAGATTTGAGGAAGGGATCATGAACATCAATTCTTGATATCAACAATTAGATTTTTTGATATCAACAATTGGTTTTGAATGGCAGCCTATGGTGACATTTCACTAGTGAAAATACAATTGTTGACATCAAGAATTACATTTTTGATATCAATAATGTAATTGTTGATATCAAGAATTTAATTGTTGATATCAATAATTTAATTGTCAATAATTTAATTATAATTATAACCAATACTTGAATTATAATATCAGAAATTAACATTGTCACTAGTAAAAATTTAATTATTGATATCAAAAATGAACATTGTTACTAGTAGCAATTCAATTGTGGATATCAAGAATAGACATTTCAACTAGTAACAATTGAATTCTTGATATCAAAAATAAAGGTTTTTACTAATAATAATTGTATTTCTGATATGTGAAATTGGAATTTCAACTAGTAAGAAATCAATTGTTCATATCAACATTTGGTTTTGAATGGCAGCCTATAGTGACATTTCACTAGTGAAAATACAATTGTTGATATCAAGAATTACATTTTTGATATCAAAAATGTAATTCTTGATATCAACAATTGAATTATTGATATCAAGAATTCATATCCTGGAAATGAATAAAAGCTAAAACGGCTTGCCATACCATCCGCTGATCTCAGGATAAACCCGACTGGGTGAGCAGGATCAGGCCTTCATCAGCCCGAAGGGGGTTATTCTGAGAACACACACACACACACACACACCTGAAGGGGGCTATTCTGAGACATTTATACACACACACACACACACACACACACACCTGAAGGGGGCTATTCTGAGACATTTATACACACACACACACACACACACACACACCTGAAGGGGGCTATTCTGAGACATTTATACACACACACACACACACACACCTGAAGGGGTTTATTCTGAGATAGCCACCGGCTGGATGTTCATTATCCTGCTTATGGAGACTGGATAAAAATATACTTGACTTGGTTATACATTTAGAAAAAAAATTCTATGGTGCTTTCAATGAAACAAATGGTTTCAGAGTAGCTTTACAGAGAGTCACTCTTAGTGTTTGCCTTAGTGCTTTACAGTAGAGCAGGGCGAATAGAAGGACATATATTTAGATCTAGATATATTGTATTTATAGTGTTATCTAGCAAATATATCAGAGCAAAGTGACTCAAACACACAATCAAAAACAAATAATAGATTTAAATTTCAGTCTGTTTTAATCTTTTTAAGAGATATTTAGAGATTTAAATGTTTGTCGGTTTTGTTCTATTAACTGATTAACATGAGGGCTGTTCCTCAACGGCTGAGCTGAGATGTGCTTTCTCCAGATTCGGGGGTCCTGATGCTTCTGGCATACAGTGAGGGCAATTACAGCCCTTGACAGTGGATGCTACGTGGGCAAAGACATGAATCTCGTGTCCATCGGGAAGCTCAATGGGCTCAAAAATATTCCTATTAATATTTCCTGTTGTGTACTTCTTGTTTGCGAGATGCATACAGTGATTCTGATCACTGTTTACTGAGTTCATTGTTTGCCTTTGCAGGTTTCAGGACAGACGGATTTGTCACATAGAGTCCATCACGCAAGGCTTTTCGCCCCCTTGTGGCCCAGCAGCCTCGGAGTCACTGACCGCTGTCAGTACAAGTCTGAATCGCAGACCGCAGCTTCAGGTCAGTGCCAGATCACATCTTTCTGCTGTTGCTTGATATTCAAAATACTGTCTATTATTATTACCTTTAAACCCTTGTGCATAAAAAAGTTACACATAGGCCACATAGTGGACAAAAATGTCTGTGTCAAAAAAAACGTGAATAAAAGTGAAGCTTGGGATCACAGACTTAAGTTTGTCCTCATTTCACACACCCACATAATCATCGCATCGCTGCATAAGTTATCCAATTGGCTCTATAATATGCAGAAGCAGAAAACGGGAATAACGCGAGTGTTTGCTTTGTAGGCCAAACCCGAAGAAATGGCACCATCTTGTAAAAAATAGTAACAAATTTAAATTTTAAGCCTTGCCAACAGATTGAAAGCCTATTAACAAAGATTGCATATTTCTGTAGTTAAATAACCCTGGGATTAAAAATTGCAGTTTTAATGGGGACAGTTTTGTGGGTGGGACTATTTTGTGTTTCTAGTGCAAAATAGATTTATTAAAGGAAATGGGGCTGAAATAGTAAAATTCCAATGAAAATTCACACATGTGCCAAATTGCATGCATTTGGCATTAACACAATCAAAATGGTCAAACAAACAATACTGGGAAAGAGTGTCCACAAGAGCTAAATTAGTGTTCCGGGTCAGAAACAGCCGACCTTGTAAATGCTTGTAAATCTCTAATCATGGTATATTATTTCCAAATATTGGTTTAACCCTCAGGTGCTCTTTGGTCATTTCTGACCGAAAAATGTTCTGTTTTGAAATTTAAAAAATCGCAGCTTCATCGGAATGTTACGAAACTTGGTGACTTTTATGGCATTGGGTATGTGAACACACAAAAAAATTGAGGTCATGATCCGAGCAGGCTAAGTGGTCGTAAAAAAAAGTCACACTTGTTCTCTTCGGTCAAAAATGACCGACCATAGGAAATGAATGGGAAATTGACAAAAACACAAAAACTTTGAGAATTTTTGTGTGTGCAATCTACAAATCGGCCACGATGCAGAAAAAAAGTTCTCAGCATTGAAGGGGTGACACTGTAAAACATCAAGAGTGCAAAACAGACATACCCACCCCTACGCACACACATACACACACTTTTATACACAAAAACATCAATAAATTGTGATTAAAGAAATCTGTTTTGAATATTTAAAAATCACAGCTTCTTCAGAAAATTACGAAACTTGGTGACTTTTATGGCATTGGGTATGTGAACACACAAAAAAATTGAGGTCATGATTCGAGCAATTTAAGTGGTCGTAAAAAAATGAGTCACACTTTTGCTCTTCTGTCAAAAATGACGACCCATAGGAAATGAATGGGAAATTGATACAAAAAAAATTTCTCAGAATTTTTGTATGTACAATCTACAAATCGGCCACAATTCTAAAAAAAAAAGTACACCGCAAGAAAGGGGTGACAGTCTACAACATCTAGAGTGCAAAACAGACACACCCACCAACACACACACACATACAAACACACTTTTATACACATACACACCAATAAATTTTGATTACAAAAAGTATGTTTTGAATTTTTAAAAATCACAGCTTCATCACGATGTTATGAAACTTGGTGACTTTTATGGCATTATGTATGTGAACACACAAAAAAATTGAGGTCATGATCTGAGCATGCTAAGTGGTCTTAAAAAAAATAGTGACACTTGTGGTCTTTGGTCAAAAATGACCCCATAGGAAATGAATGGGAAATTGTAAAAAAAAGAAAAAAAAATTGTGAATATTTGTTTTTTGTCATTTTTTTTTATAAGAAATAGTTTTTGAGATTGTTTCAACTATATATACAAATCCACCAACAACAACAACAACAAAAATGTGTTCATAAACAGCTGGGGAATTCACATGCCTCTCCATAGAGAGCTGTACATGCCATCGAGTGCTTACACCATGATTCTACGCTTTTTCTCTATACTGTAACCAGATGGTGCTAATTTTCTTCAAAAAATATTTTTTTTTTCTGAAGGCCTAGACTCTATATTAAACTAAAATACTGCATTAATATTTTTTTGAAGAAAATAATATAAATATAGAAAATAATATATATTTTTCTATGGCAAAAATAAACCATAAATATTAATAAATTCATTTAAATTGTCTCAAAATACTAAATTAAAAAGAATAAATATTATAGAACAAAAATAAATTGCATTGGTTGTACTGGGATGGAGAAAGTTTCATTTTTAGGTGTCCGGTCACTTTTGACCGGGAAGATAACAAGTGTGACTCCGAAACGAAGAGCACCTGAGGGTTAAATCTTTGTCAACTTGTTTTCTTTCATTTGGCACAGGTGTTGTCTGTGTTTTTGGAAGTGATTGGTCTGAGCTCATGCATTTTTGAGTTCAATAAGCTTGTGTAAAAGTTCTTCACTCAAACACTGAGGGGCATGAGCTCAGACCAATGAGGCCTACGATCAGTCAGTAAAAAAACACACACAAAACCTGCGCTAACTGAATGCAAACAAGTTGATAAAAAGATTGTATCCAATATTTGGCAATTACAAAGCGTAAAGAGAGATTTATTATTAGCAGTGTTTTGTAGGCTGACCCAGCAAGGGTAAAAATGTCATGGAAAAATACCCTAAAAGTATAAAACGTTTAAAAAATAGTTTTGGGTAGTTGTTATACTCTGTGTGACCAAAACCGGTAAGTTTTCGTCCAATGCAAAGACATTAACCAGCATTTGCAGAAAAAAATTAATTCTTCTCAGTCAGAATTACTGGAGCAATATTAAAAGAGTAGTTCACTTCAGAATGAACATTTCCTGATAGTTTACTCTCCCCTCGTCACCCGAGATGTTCATGTCTTTCTTTCTTCAGTGGGAAAGAAATGAAGGTTTTTGAGGAACACACTCCAGGATTTCTCCATATAGTGTCTTCAATGGGGTCCAACGGGTCGAAGGTCAGATGTGAGTTTCAGTGCAGCTTCAAAGTCTCGACACGATCCAGCCGAGGAATAAGAGTCTGATCTAGACAAACCAGCCGACATTTACAACAAAACACACATTTATATACTTATAACCACTAATGCTGGTCTTGCTCTCGCTGTGATGCCAAGTTGAAAGGTCACAAGAAAGGCCAAAGACAGACATCTTGTATAGCGTGGGGAGTAAATTATCAGGAAGTTTTAATTCTGAAGTGAACTAATCCTTTAAGATGTGTGATCAAACATAGCATTGTTTTTTGTTCAGTGTATAATGTACCAAATCCTCAGTTGGTTTTGATTCCCATCATGCATTTGATTAATGGTGTGCGTACAGGTATTTTCCCAGTGGATAATCGGCGGTACAGCCACGAGTCGATGCTAAAGCTGCGTTACTGTCCGGCGGCGTGTGTGCGGCCCGCGGACCTGGAGCTCATACCAGGGGTCACCGACAAAACACCAGGTGACCCATTCACACCGGCGGCGCTCCAGTTAGTGCTGATCCATGTCAGACCTAGCCTTAGCATTAACATACAGTTCATGCACTATTCAGTATCTGAGCGTTGCTTAATTCTTAAAGAACCTTAATTCTTCAGTTTAACAAAATATTTACAGAATGCTGAAATAAAACAGCAAATTATTTGAATTGCATGTTGATTTAAGAGGAAATGGTGCATCAAATGTACAGAGTTGATTAAAAACAAATTAACTAGTAGTTACTATGTCTCTAGTGGAACTTAAAGCGTAACTGTGGACGGCTTCTGGGTTTGTCTGAAGTGTGTGCAATGATGGTATTTCTTGTGTTTATTTGCAGACCCAGAAGACATGGACATGTTCAGTAGAAGGTGAGTCAGATGGTGTTCAGGTTTAACCAGTCATGATCCTGATGAGAACAGCATTAATCGGAGAATCGACTCTTATTTAAATTGCCTTTTTCTCCAATCGCATATTTCAGTGACCATCGTAAAGTGGGTGTCATGCACTAAAGGCACTTATGGAGATTTTTCATTTACAGATTCTTCCCTGCCCTTCTCTTCTCTGTAAAGTAAGGGTTCACACAAACCTACGTAGCAGTCGGATGTCCGTATGAAGTCATCAAATCAAATTTTAGTTATAAAGCACATTTAAAATCGAGCTTAGTTGGCCAAAAGTTCTGTACATGAAACAGGCAAAAATGGATAGAAAAATTAAAAATAATAATGAAGACAAGAAACGCAGTAGAATTACAAATAATTGAAAGCACAAGAAAAAGATGAGTTTTAAGCATAGATTTAAATTCAGCTCATGTAAAAGCAGTTCTTACAGTTATTCCACATCTTAAAGGGCACCTATTATGCCCCTCTTTACGAGATGTAATATTGGTCTCGGGTGTCCCCAGAATGTATTTGTGAAGTTTCAGCTCAAAATACCCCACAGTTAATTTATTATAACCATTTGAAAATGTCATTTTTGGGGCATGTTTAAAAAGAGCTGTTTTGGTGTATACCACCTTAAATGAAAATGAGCTGCATATCCCCGCCCTGCCTTTAGATGAGGACGTAACTGCAGTCGGTAAGCAGAATGGAAGAGTGAGAGACCCGCTGTGTTGTATGTCATTCAGCCGTACGTGTTTGAATCGGAATATATAAATAGTCTCTGATCAGACCTAGATGACGAAGAGACTCCGGCAGAATAAACACAAATGAGAATAGACCAGGACGTCTCGGTATGGTTACTTGATGCATTTATGTTTATAAAGTTGTAATCGCGTCACCAAGGGCAGGGTCTATGCCACAACCACACTGTCAATCAAACCCCTTGCTCAATTCTACGTCACAAAGAGCTGAATCTCAGAACAGCTCGTTCTGACACAGTGCATTATTGAGATTGTAAAAAAACCACTGGGTGGATTTGTATCATTCTAGGGTGGTTTTGCTCACACACTGCCAACACACATTTATGTTCAAACACCATGTAAAAGTGAATTTTGCATAATAGGTGCCCTTTAAGGCCAGCCACTGCAAAAGCTTGATCACCTCTTGATTGTAAGCGACATTGAGGGACAGACAGAAGATGCTGATCGTTTGAGCTGAGTGATCTGCATGGATTGTAGGTCATATCTGCTGCTAAACCTGTTTTAATGTGCACCATCTTGTGCTGTGCCATTTATATTTGTTCTGGAACAGTGGATTGCGAATTTGAAACAGAGTGCATTTCAACTTATTTTCCAAACTGTCTGTAGTCGTCAGAAAAACACTGTAACGCCTCAAATGACGCCTTTTTTCACCTGTCGATGTGTATGAAGGAACATGGAGAACAGACGAGATGACGGCAGAAGTGGCAAAATGTTGGTGACATTTATTGTCATGTAAACATAATGGGCGATATATAGCGTCACCAAAATTATTGAGGGCATGTGTGTGTATATATATATATTTATATACAGTATATATATATATATATATATATTTATATACAGTATATATATATATATATATATATATATATATATATATATATATTGTGTGATAGTGATAAGATGATATATTTATTATTGCGACAGATCTAAATACATTTAATCTATAGTTTGATTCTGTACCATCATTTCAGTTCAGTTATGCTGTTCATTTCTAATGCTTTACATCTGGAAGCTCATTGGTCCTTATGGTCCATGGAGAAAACGAAGAGAAATATATCCCTTGCGTCGCACAAAACAGGTGCCACTTCCCACGCGCAAGATTTATAAAATGATTTATAAAAACCTGACGGGAGAACGTGCGGACCTGTAAAGTAAAATCTGATCCATGCGTACGCACATTCTGGAGACGTTTGGCGACACCGATGGTAAGCTGAAGGACTGACTGCAGAAGAAGGAAAACCACTTTACAATAACAGTTTATATACATGGCTGATTACGCATATGATATGCATAGTAGAACGAGTCGTGTGAAGTATATGGTTATTTTGGGGAAGAGGCGCATGTGAACACAATCTTCCTCTGACTGGGATTTGTAAAGGGAATTCGGCGCAGGTTCTGGCGTACGCACGGGTTTATAAGTCTGAATATTTTTTCTGTACGCAATTTTAGTCTTTCGTGCGCACGTGCAGTTTTAGTAAGGATCCTACGCACAGTTTTATAAATGAGACCCCTGATCATCATCTGCCGATTCTCACATTAATCTGATTGTGTGTTTGCAGGTTCGGGCACACGTTACATCACTCGCTGAGCCTGACGTCGGCTTACAGTGAGGTGCGTCCCGACACACACACGCCTGCGGTCTCCACACTAAACTCAGACGGGGCGGCCATGGTGGACTACATCTTCTACTCCACCCGGAGGAGCGGGTCTGCTGGAGAGGAAGGTAATGAACTCGATCAACCATCATCCCAGCATGAAGATGAGCTCCGTTTAAGACGTTAATCCCGATGCATTTTTACATTTTCGTTTCAAAACGCTCTCCGTCCACACTGGCGTTTTCTGGCGTTTCCAAAAGTTTCTCATCTGCACTGAAAAGTCGAAAAACACTAAATTCCCCTTTACTGCGCATGTGTAAACCCTCACAGAAGCTCTCTGAGATGATACAGGCGGGGAAAATAAATAAAGTTATCGCGCAATTCTTCTGGCAGGATAATTTTATTTATCAGAATATCTCAGCGTTCACTGACGCGTCAGGTCGCTCTCTCTCACCGTTATATGTGTGTGTCTAAAACACTAAAACTGCTCATGTTTAGCAAACGCGAGTGTATTCTGTCATCTTTGAAGAGTGTGTGAAGGAACATATTTTAGCAAGTGTGTGAAAGTGAACCGCACATAACAGGCACAAAACCGCTATAAACATCAATATCTATGGGTACAGTATGCGTCACATGACTAAATCGTTTTTAAATACCTCAGTTTTGACGTTCCACGCTACAACACGAAACACTGTTTTCAAATGTGTCGACTCTGGAGAGCGTTTTCAAAAAGCTTCGTTTTCATTAGTAAAAAACGTGTCTCAGTGTGAACAGAAGGCCAAAACTGAGAGAAGATGATGCGTTTTCAAACGGACAAGGCCTAAAGCCATTAAATATCTGTAAACACACTGATTTTGATCCGCCCCAAATCAAACATTGTCATTTAAATCAGCATTTAATTGTCTTTTTAATGGTGAACCTGATCTGATAAACCTGTCGCACTCGATCTCCTCAGTCCTTTTACACTCTTTTATCTAGTAAAAGTCTTTCAGTGTAATTGTACAAACGTCCTCCTTCGGCTCGAGTCTTTCTGTGTCAAATCTGCCCTGATTTATCAAGGAAACGCAGGAAGAACTTTGATATTGTTAGTAATATTTCACTTTACTTGATTAACATCATTCATAGAAAAATCATGCGTATCAAATATGATCATCAGGTTTATTAGTTCATCTCTCGATCATCATTCTATTGCATTATATGATTTAAAACTACAGAAATTTGATCATAAAACTAAGCATATTTAATATTAGCTTACTAAGATATTATTGGCACATTGATATTTATATGAATTTTCTGTAAGTATCTGTTATTAAGATCTTATTGATCACAAGCATCAGAATTTTATCTTTTGTTCATAATAATATGAGCATCTGCAGCAAACTGCATATTTTTGCTCAGTTTGGGCCTCTGAATAAAACAGTTATTCTCACTATATCAGACTATAAGAGCCATAAAAGCCTGATCTATCAAATATGATACTCAAGAAAAAACACATGAAAACTTATATTTTGATTAAAGGTTCAATAAACTGTCAATATACAGTAGTCAACATTTGAAGTGGCTCAAAACCTTTCATCAAAGAACAAAACCCGTTCTTGTCTTTTTTTGATCCACTTCAAATGTTGGCTACTGTATTTTTTATTTTTGTCTTTCTATTATTTGATGGGATTGTTGTTTGGAGTTTGAGGCTCTGTTTGTTGACATCACATGACTGATGACTTCACACACCTGATGACGTCACACCACTGATGACGTCCCACACATGAGTGATGATGTCAGCGTGTGTGTGTGTGTGTTGTCCGCACAGAGAGCGCTGGCGGTTTGCAGATGTTGGGTCGTCTGTCTCTGCTGTCGGAGGCTGATCTCTGGTCTATGAAGGGTCTTCCCAACCACACCTTCCCGTCCGATCACCTCAGTCTGCTGGTGAAGCTCCGGCTGTCCCACTCTGACAGTCATCGAGTGTAAGGACTGTTTGTCTTTATCGCTCTAATTGGATTGTAAATGGAAGAAATGTATTTTTGGTCAGATGGATATCTTGTTTTCTATTCAGTAACAGAACGTGTGAATATTCTCCAGCATGGCATTTGATGATGCACCGTTTACGGTTCCAGTTGTTGAAATCAAAATGCACTTGCATTTATGACACACTTTTTGTATTTCTTTTGTTTTGGTTTTGAATATCTATTTTGAACAGACCTAAATAAATAACTGCAAGTGCTGCTGTTGTTTTTGCTTTTAGTTTAAATACTGTGATGGATTTGGTTTATTAATAATGCCGGTACCAGATTCCCAGAAATCTCCTGCCAGGCTTCTGGAGTTCACTGAAAGCACACATTATTCACAGGGTTTGTAAAACAGCATTTTTTTTCTTTCAAAATTAACAAATCTTTTTCTGAGTCAACTCGTTCATTTCGTTCGTTGAATGAACCAAATGACACGAAAAAAGATTTGTTCATTTTGATGAAAGAGTTTGAACAGGAAAGTCACGAACGCTCATCACAGAACAGAGCAAGGCGAGCATTTGAGCTTATAAAACTTAAACTGTGTTATTTATTTATTAAATGAGCGATTGTTTCGCTTGATATTCATCGTCTGGAATCGTTTAAAGCCCTCTGAACAGTTTGCACTGAAACTGTCTTTTGGACCATTGAAGTCCATTATATGGAATGTTTTCATCAAAAACCTTAATTTCTTTTCCACTGAAGAAAGAAAGACATGGACATTTTGGATGACATGGGGGTGAGTAAATTATCAGCAAAAGTTTTTTTAAAAGTGAACTACTCCTTTAAGTTTTTACTTTATTATTGAGACACTTTATTGTTGACCACCACAAACTTTATATTTATTGTATCCACATTTGTAAAAACAAACAATAAGAATAAAGTGTCTTATTTGTCAATATTTGTGTTTTTTATTGGTTTTTAGTGTTTTATTCAGTGTTTTAATTTATAACATTATACCTGAGAAAGTTTTAGAAAAGGGAAGTTAAACTTTAACCTGAAGAAATCCTGATGTTGTTCTTTGAACCAAAGGTGATCATAAACTCCTCCCTCTTACAACACTCACCAGGAAGAGACTGAGTTATTTCTCTTTTCTGTCATGATGACTCTCTTCTCTCTCGACAAAAGCAATAAAGAAGCAGCGATCAGTGGAGAATGAAGACAAACACTTTCAAGAAGGATTTGTGAGACATTTGTTTCTGAACAGAGAGCAGATCGTTGTGATTTATTCTTAAACCCGTCGTTCAGAGAGTGAAAGTAAAGTTTGTGTTGCTGGAGCTCAAACTGTGGAAATGGCTTCACTAAACGTGTCTGCAGAAGAGCTTTCTTGTCCCGTGTGCTGTGACATCTTCAAGGCTCCTGTTGTTTTATCCTGTAGTCACAGTGTCTGTAAAGAGTGTCTTCAACAGTTCTGGAGAACCAAGAAAACTCAAGAGTGTCCCGTCTGCAGGAGAAGATCCTCAAAAGAAAATCCTCCATATAATCTGACACTGAAAAACTTGTGCGAGTCAATCCAGAAGGAGAGAAATGAGACTCGTTCACCAGGATCTGAGGAGATCTGCAGTTTACACAGTGAGAAACTCAAACTCTTCTGCCTGGAGGACAAACAGCCGGTGTGTTTAGTGTGTATTACTTCACAGAAACACGACAATCATAAAGTCAGACCCATCAGTGAAGTGGTTTCATCATATAAGGTAAGACAAATATCTCTTGTTTTACATGTAAATGAAACTGAAAGTGACATGAAGAGAGTAACGCACACACACACACACACACACACTCGGAGCAGAGCAGCACATGCGTGCGTGTGTGTGTGTCGGTGAGGTTAAAGGAGAGCAGGCTGTGGACCAAAGCACTGTGGGGCAAGAGGGGGGACTCAAAATGTTCAAAACGTTTTTTTGTTTGCATTTATATTATTTAACTACTTGCACAACTATATTAAAGGGACACTTCACTTCACACATCACCCATGGTTTATTCCCTTATTTTCCCCTGAGATGGGAGAAATAAGGATTTAAGTGTTTTACTTCCTGCTTATCGTGACGGAAAAATCGTCATTTTGCATCATAATAAGCAGGAAGTCACATTTCATTGAAATGATAGAGACTACAAACATTAGCTCATTATTATTCAAGGATGTTGGACCCACTCAGCCTACAGGCCTATCACAGATCAGTGGGCGGGACTTCACTTGCAGAAACTGAAATCAATATCCGCCATCTTGTTTGGAAGCTAAGCTAACAAGCGCTGTGGAGATACGAAGTTATGACAATGATGGAAGAAACTAAACATGATGTTGAAGAAGAGGATTTAAAAATTCTGCTGCTCGAATCCGATGTTCAGGAATCAGGATGAGGGCTCATACTTTTTCACTGTATTATATGATCATATCACTGTATTGTCTTCTCTTCTTCTCTTCGCTGTAATCTTGTGTTTTATGTTTTTTGTCCAATTCTAGGAGGAGTTCAGAACAGCACTGAAGTCCTTACAAGAGAAACTTAAACACAATGAAAAAATGAAAGTAGAGTTTGAGGAAACAGAATCAAGAGTCATGTATAGTATCACCGTATACAGTTATGATTTAATATAATGGATTCCAGTTGATTATTTCTGTAAATAACGAGGATCAATCTGCTTCTGGATCTGTTATATGTCGGGATCGAGTGTTGATTGAGATGATTGAAGTGAATGTGATGTGATTTCAGGCTCAAGCTGACCACACAGAGCGTCAGATTAAACTGCAGTTTGAGAAGCTTCATCGGTTTCTCAGAAAAGAAGAAAGAGCTACAGTCACTGCACTGAAGGAGGAAGAGAAGCAGAAGCAGCAGATGATGAAGGAGAAGCTGGAGGAGATGAACACACACATCTCAGCTCTTTCACACACAATCAAAGACATGGAGGAGATGATGAATGCCAATGACGTCTGCTTTCTGAAGGTCTGATTTCAGATCATTGGTTGATTGATTGAGTTCTTGATGATAATGGTGTGTTTGTTCTGCAGGAGTTTCCAGTCTCAATGGAAAGGTGAGTGATCTGCTCCCGTCTCTGGTCTCTCTGGTTCTGATCCAAAGCCACTGCAGTTCTGACTCCTGAATGTTCTTCCAGAGTCCAGAGCTCACGGCCGGATCCACAGATGGCGTCTGGAGCTTTGATTCATGTGCCACGATACTTGGGCAACCTGCCGTTCAGAGTCTGGAAGAAGATGGAGGACCTCGTCCAAAACAGTGAGTCTGACGGCGGAGATCTGAGCTGGAGATAGATAGATTTCTGTTTTTAGCATTGTTTGCTGTCAGGGATGCAAACAGCGCGCTTTTCGGCGCCTCCGGCTTTTTTCACATCAGTTTGGGTGACTTTTGTGAATCATGCAGATCCGAAGAGATTTTTTCAAGGGGCGTGGATGGCATTTTGTCAGTTTTTTGCTCTCGTGTCCTGTGCGCGAGTTTTGTGTATATTGTGTATTTTGCGCTCTCAAGTTCACTATTTCACAATTGAAGTGATTGATTATATGTTATATGTTGACAAACTGCACATAGAAACATTGTTCACGATGTCTGCCGTCAGATATTCCCGTCTCATTCGCGGTAAAAACACTGGTATAAACTAGGGGTTTCACAACTACTGATTTTTGCTAGTCGACTAGTTTTGCATAACAGTCGACGACTAGTCGACTAGTCGTTAAATGGTTTATTCTAGGGGTGTGCGACAACACGAATAGTAAATGTCTCCACGATCTGCTTTTGAAGAAATATGGTAGTAGTAGTATCGTGTTACAGTGCATTCTATCAGTTCTGGCGTCTCTCAACTGTACAACGCGACGTAGCCTACACATCACACGTTAAGGAATAGGTACGGGACACTGCAATTCACAAAAGTTCATTGTTTGCATAAGCCTTGCCGGTTAAACATTTAATTCACGCGCTGTTCTAACGTGCGCTTTCCTGAGCGCGCGGCATATCCCCGACGCTCACAGGCATTAGAAGCCTGTCAAACAGCGCCTGAATACTGCACTAAGTTATCTTTCAAGTCTTATTATGCTAATACTGTTAAATACACACAATTTTTACATAAACAGAATTGTCTAAAGTGCAGCCTCCCCATATAGAAAGTGAAAGCAAACATTTGAGAGAAAATCTGGTGTAGGCTAATATGCGTCTATATTAAACACGTCGCGTGCTGGTCTAAAAGCGAGAGTAGTACTCGTATTTTCCGCACTATAAAGCGCACTTAAAAGCCTTTAATTTTCTCAATCCGGCCTTTTCTCAAACTTTATAATCCGGAGCACATTATATATGAATCAATTGCTCGCGCTCGTGTCCATCTTATGCCCGCTTTGTCACACAGCCAGTTCAACCTCGTATAAAATATCTCCCGCTCACGAGCGCTCTCTCTAACACACACACGAACAGACACTGCTGTCAGCAGGCTGCGAATGTAAGTTACGTGCCCGCCCCGCGCGCTCACGCTTAAATAAACGCCTCACCTCCGACGCCGCGCACTCGCTGCATTCCCTTTAGCACATCTAGTGGATGCATAATGCAAACCCAGTCAAACGTTTGAAAAATGTTCTAAAATAGGTCATTGAAGGTGCGCCTTATAGTGCTTATAGTATATAGTACTGCCGCTTGTACTTAAAGGGATAGTTAACAAAAAAAATATATCTATATGTCATCATTTTGTTTCCGACTAGTCGACTAAGGCCAACTAGTGGTTGTGACAGTCGACTAGTCGACTAGTTGATGAAACCCCTAGTATAAACACAGTTTGATGTGGCGATTTTCAATGCCCAGAGCCTGTTAAACTTGAGCCAACCAACCCCGTGACGTCAACTGCACAATGGCGGCGCCCTGGCGGCGAAAGATACAAAGTTTTTTTCTTTTTTTCTTCTAAATGTTTACATTTGTAATGTTTCTTATATAATTGTTGATTTTATTGGAAATCCATCTTGTAAATCATGTTAACTTGATTCACTGCTTCATTTCCCTCTTAACAATGTCGCAAAACAAATGCAATTTCTTTTACTTTAGTTTTTATCAGGATAAGAAATAGAAGATTATTACATAAATTGAAGTTTGATTGATTCCATCAAGAATCGCAAAAACAGTTTTATTTTAGATCGGGCATATTACTGGGGTCCTAAGCTGGGACTCACCAGACCAGATGTTTCCATGGTAACGGTCATAAACAGTCTATGCTAGCGGTGCGCTAATCCTCTTTTTAGAGCGTTTGGGAACTAAAACACGCGGGAACACGACCTGTTACACCTACAGCAGCGGCACGAGAATAAGGAGGATAAGAGCCAATCAAATGAAGATGATCCATCAGACACACACTTACAGTTCTTCATTTATTGTTATTTAAATTTCCCAAAGTATCAGTTTCTCTCGATGGACACAAATGTCTGAATCCCATATTTAATGTGTGTAGTTGATGCCGTTAAACGCTGATGATAAAAACGAGTGTGAAACTAATAACAGCACTGACAGTGATCAGAGGAAAATGAGTTTGATCAACAGGACGAGTGTTATAATTCATAATAATCTGTGTTGGGTTCACTGTTGATCATTAGATGAAGATCAGAATTAAAGCATGTGTTGATTGTGTCTCATCAGCTCCTGTGATTCTGGATCCAAACACTGCGAATCCACATCTCGTCCTGTCTGATGATCTGACCAGTGTGAGAAACAGTGGGAACAATCCAACTCTTCCTGATAATCCAGAGAGATTTGACTGGTATTCCTGTGTTCTGGGTTCAGAGGGTTTTAACTCAGGAACACACTGCTGGGATGTGGACGTTAAAGAGAGTAAACTCTGGACTCTTGGAGTAACTTCAGCATCAGCCCAGAGGAAGGGATACGGTTTCTTCAACACTGATGTCTGCTGTGTGTGGTACGGATCTTCTGTAAATTCTGGTTTTCTTATTGAACAGAAGCTTGATCGTGTGAGAGTGAATCTGGACTGTGATGGAGGAACGGTGTCGTTCTCTGATCCTGTAACTAACACACATCTACACACATTCACAACCACCTTCACTCACCACACAATCTTTCCATTCTTCCGGTGTTATCCCTCTCTGAGGATCTTACCGGTCAACACTCAGTAAAGTGACTCCTGTAGATCTGGATCTTCCTGCTTTCATCATGTTTCCAATATTTACTCCATATCTCATGAGTAAGAGTGCTGTAGATCTGAGTGTCAGTACGGCTGCTGTGATTGGGCCGTGATGATCACATGACTGATATCCAGCACTACAGCAACACACACACACTCTCATGTTGCTTTAACAGATCAATAAACAACTGTGAAGTTTGTCACTAATTTTCACATTATTATATCATATATTTTCTGTAAACTGAGCCTAATTCTACACAATGAATAATAGTTTATTTCAGTTTAAATGATCATTTTCTCAATTAAGTACATTGATGTAAAATTAATGATAAACATTATAGGAAGATGATGTTAATATTTCTCAACCGATTTCAGTGATTTATGATTTATGTGGATTATAAAAAAGGTTCAGTCTGAAATTATTAAGACTCTCGCTGGTTTAGAGCTTGACATTTTTTAATGGTTAATTATTAATGAGGAATTGTGAAAACTCAAGCGTGTCGAGCTAAGTTTTGGTTTGTTTTTCTGGGTTAATAATTGTAGAGATGTCCCTAATGTAATATAATTTAATGTACATGAAATATGTATATGTATTGTGGAAATGGTCATATTAGCTTTTTCTCTTGTTCCTTTAGTGTTCTGTCTTCAATCTCGTCATAGGACGGATGTCACAGGGCAATTTAAATGATGTGAAGATAATCTGCAGCTCAAAACCTTATTTATCTTAAGGCTCTTTTCATGTTTATAATTTATTTCTATAATTTTCCTTCTAACCAAATGCGTGCAGTTTAACAAGAGTTTGTTTTATTAGTCAACCATAAAGATAAATGTCTTTATAGAAATTTTAGAGCTGCAGTCAGTGTGTGTGTGTGTGTGTGTTTGTGTATAGTCAGTGTGTGTGTGTGTGTTTACTACGAGGTGTGATTTGTGCACACACTTTGGAAACTACGTAATCATCATGCCGATCGTGACGTACCCTGCCGTGACCAATGGCGTGTGATAACGTAGGCGTGGATAAACGCCTGGATAACTATGGAACGCCAAAAGGGTCAAATTTTGCCACCAACCGTTATCTGCGGCGCTTCTGTCTGACAAAGACGGCGTAAAACGGCGCTTTGTATGCTGTAATATTATAATCAGCCCCACCATTTTCTTCAAAGTTCAGCCCATCTAATGAAGTAGATGGAAAACCATATGTAGTAGATTGTCGATCCATCTTAAGGGTTCTGTTTTTCTAATGTTGTTAGGACTAGTGTTTGGACTGTTATCGTGTCATATTTTTATTTCTTCATTGGGGCCGTGGATCCCCCTTTTTCCTTTATCATATGTGGGTATATAGTATGATTTTAGCCTCTGTTTACATTCATGTCTGTGAAATGCATTAGATTACCCAGCAAACTTACTACCTTCAGTAGGGCATTGGTCTGTGTGCACGGGAAGCAGGGTCGTTTTGCTCTTAGTGACGGGGGTTCGACTCCAAGGTCCGACCGCATTTATCTCCGCTTCATTTCTTTTGTATTTGTATTTATTTTAACGCCTAAACAAATTTATTTAAAGAATAACACCGGCGTTGGGTGTTTATCTGTATAAGCTGTGTTGTGTTTAGCTGTGATAAAGCTTGAAATGTCCACCAACGAAAAAAATCATATCGAAAGCAAATACGTGTGGTATAGCCTTTCATCTGATTATGTTATCCTGTCCATATGAAAGGCACATCTACTTTACAGCGATGTATGAATATATATTTGCAGCCTACGCTGATTTAGAAAAGACTAGTTTATTAATAAACAATTAAAATGCTTAGTTTTTTAAGAGGCTTAAGAGTTTCTTTAGCAGAGGAGAAAATGGCAGAGAGATGGTGAGGGAGAAGAAATGTCCTGCAATAGATGACAGTGAGTTAATAAGACACTAGACAAGATCGTGCAGGGATCATGTTTGTGACTGATCTTATTAGAGACACGCTGATATCTCCAACACAGCGCAATGCCATAACCAGAAATGAAAATGATTACTACATTAAGATATTTGGCAAATGGGAAAATGCAATAAAGCAGCAGTGATTTGGGTCTGTCACAACCTTCTGTAAGCAGTGATCACGCAAATATAGACCTTATTCAGAGCAGCGCCATGACAGGTATGAAAGTGAGGCTGTGAGGGATAGACTTACCGTGTTTCCAGTGGCATCCGCTGTAAAAAGCTGAATAAAGCGGCTAGATTACTTACAATTTTCCACAGCTTACATTGTCGGGATTTTTTTGTCAACTGACATTTCTTTGAAAGATATTTTTCCAGTGTTTCATAAGCAGAACAAACCGAAAACACATTAAATAACAGTACAGCCCATTGAAGAGATGCAAGTCTATCCCTCACAGCCTCGCTTTCATTCTCATTAAAAATCAAAGATGGCGCTGCCGTGAATAAGGCGTATTACAGCACTTTCAGAAGCTCTTATTATGTCGCAGTTCTTATGTCCCACCTTGCAGGCTCAAAAAACTGCATTTATAGCAGGCTTCCCTGGTGCGCACAAGCAGGGGAATGAACCGTTAATAATGTGCGCTATAAGCTCCCATGTCTGCTTCTTGCTCCGTGCCGTGACACGCGGCCCAATTTCTTTCTTTAATGGTGGTCTAGTGTTCATCCACTAACTGGTCTAACAGCAAACACTGTTCTTCTGTCCAGTTGGGCTTTCTCATCTTTCTCGTTTTTTATTCCATGTTTGATGAATTAAAACCAACACTCAAACCACTACTTAAATAAACAGCAATCAGTGTAATTGGAAAAAGTGGAACAATTTTTATCATTCTAAGCCAATCAAATACTTTATAGGAAATTAACAGCATGGTAAAAAAAAAGGATATATATATCGGTGTACATTACAAATTGCGGTGTACATTTCTGTAAATATATAGTGTACTTCCGTGTAGGTATAAGGGAACAATATGTTAAGTTTGGGGTAATAAAGGGGTAACAAACAGATATACAACCTACAAATAACTTTGTAAGTACACTGAAAGTACACTTCCGTGTAGGTATAAGGGAACAACATTGTTTTGCTCATCGAATTAACGTTGAACCAACGTCAGGCGCGTCATTCTTTCAAAACTAATGGAAAATCAACTTGAAATCAACGCGTTGTTTCAACGTTATGAAGGCAAACCAATTTTCGATTTTCATTTAGCTTTGAAGAATGCCGCGTCTGACGTTGGTTCAACGTTAATTCGATGAGCAAAATCAACATTGTTTCGATGTCATGAGAGACGTCGTTTCCACGTTGATTCAATGTCAGTTTGCTGTCTGGGTGGGCACTTCAGTTTCACGTGAGTGAAAGAGAGGGAGGAGATCTAACCAAGGGGGGTAATCCATCGACCGGAAGTTGAAGCCTCGGGGGAGCTGCCATCTTGTAGCAGAACTTTTTACTTTTCCCATTGACTCCCATTCATTTTGGCGTGACTTTGACAGCGAATAACTTTACATCTGAGGCGTTTGAAGACCCCATGATCAGGCCCCGGCCCGTGTCCAAGTGGCATTTTACTGTCCCCACTGCTCTCCCCTCTTTAACCAGAGCCATCTGTATGCCTTTTCTGCTGCCTCCATGTTGTTGCCTATGGCTCTTCTTTGATTAGCACCTTTAATACCCAGCGTACCATAGGCCTTGCTCAGGGAGTATCTAGCAAATCCCCTACTGCCCACCTCTACTTGCATGCACCTGGTCCTCTATCTGGACAATCCTCCGACAATCCTCCACCAGTTCTTGGTATTTCTCCCTTTTTCTCTCTTGAGCGTCCTCCATCATCTCCTCCTAGGGCACAGTCAGCTCTAAGAATATCAGCTCTTTGGTGACCTCAGAGACCAAGAGGATGTCAGGTCTCAAATTGGACTGGGTGATGTGAGATGGAATTTTCAGCTGCCTTTCCAGGTCTACTGTCATCACCCAGTCTCGGGCCGTGGAGAGCAAACCTACAGAGCATTTCAGAGGTAATCTGTCAAACAGTGTTGGCTCAAATCCGTTTTGCAGATATGGGCCAGAGCAGTTTTTAGCCACAGTGTAGCCTATGTGAAAACAGTATCGGCTCAGATTCATATTTCAGATCTGGACCAAATCCGAGTCAGACACAGCTAATGTCTTTCGGTTACCTATGGGAAAAGTGATCTGGGCTGAACTGAACTGATGCAGTTAGAATGTTGAAGCTGAACCTATCTATCTATCTATCTATCTATCTATCTATCTATCTATCTATCTATTAATTAATGTGTCAATGTACTCTGTCTCTCAGTCAGTGTGTAAATTTAAATGGAAGCCTAAATATAACTAAACAAATCGCACAATAAATGTCACTATATCACCAAAAATCTGCTATCTCAAAAACTCCTCTCACAAAAACCTGCGATGTGAAACTGCATTAACTTCACTGAGTGATTTGTTCCCGACCGAACTATCAGTCAAACCCTGACTCGGTGGACCATGCCACCTGTTGAAACCAAACACTCAGAAGCTTAATTTAGCCATAGTCACGTGACGTGGGTGTTTTGAATCAAGCTTCGGATCAGTGTTTCGAGTCATCTGTGCTTTGGGATCTCGCAAAGCTTCGGACAACTGTTTCGGGTCACGGGTCAGCCACCCCTACTTTCAAGAAGGATTTGAGACATTTGTTTCTGAACAGAGAGCAGATCGTTGTGATTTTCAAGGTGATTTATTCTTAAACCCGTCGTTCAGAGAGTGAAAGTAAAGTTTGTGTTGCTGGAGCTCAAACTGTGGAAATGGCTTCACTAAACGTGTCTGCAGAAGAGCTTTCTTGTCCCGTGTGCTGTGACATCTTCAAGGCTCCTGTTGTTTTATCCTGTAGTCACAGTTTCTGTAAAGAGTGTCTTCAACAGTTCTGGAGAACCAAGAAAACTCAGGAGTGTCCCGTCTGCAGGAGAAGATCCTCAAAAGACAAACCTCCTTTTAATCTGGCGTTAAAAAACTTGTGCGAGTCAATCCAGAAGGAGAGAAATGAGACTCGTTCATCAGGATCTGAGGAGATCTGCAGTTTACACAGTGAGAAACTCGAACTCTTCTGTCTGGAGGACAAACAGCCGGTGTGTTTAGTGTGTAGAGATTCACAACAACACGACAATCATAAAGTCAGACCCAGCAGTGAAGTGGTTTCATCATATAAGGTAAGAAAAATATCACATGTAAATTAAACTGAAAGATACATGAAGAGAGTAGCGCAACCACACACCCAAACACACACCCACAGCAGTGCAGCGTCAGGCGCGACTCAAGTGTGTTTTGCTAGTTTCGCCCAACGTAGTTTTGCGATATTTAAAGTGAATAAAATAGCATTGAAAAATGTTGTTCTCTCCCACCGCACTGTGTGTCGGTGAGGTAAAAGCGGAGCAGGCAGTGGACCGAAGCACTGTGGGGCAAGAGGGGAGACTCAAAATGTTTAAAACGTTTTGTTGTTGTTGCCCTGTTTGCATTTTCATTGTTTTACAACTTGCACAACTATATTAAAGCCACACTGCGGAGCTTTTGGCCACTAGAGGCGCTCGACCTGTAACTTTCACGTCTAGCGTCCCTAGAGGCCACAAGCTCCGCAGCACTGTCGCAAATTAAAGTCAACAAACAGTCAACCGGTAAACTTTCCGTGTCTTTAGATTGTGTGTGCTTGCAGTGTTTGAGGCGGGCAGCCTTGCTGCGCTCGATTCCCCTATAGCAGTCTGCTGAGCCCCGTGGGGCTTATCGTGTCTGTGAGTGAATGTGAGCGCGGGCACGTTTGTGGGCACGTTCACAACATTTAATGTAACGTTACATTTGACATGAGTCGATTTTTTTAGTGCGAGCCCTGCACTGAGGCGGGCTGTGTTTGTGTGTTGAAATGAACGCTGGGCTGTGGGCATTTTATTACACTCATAACACCATCGGCTGTGGACGGAATAGCAGAAAATACTACACTGCTTATATGAATTTATCTGGGTCACCTTGGAAACGGCGTTTGTGTGCAGGCAAGCGTCCGCATCGGTCGAGCACCCTTCCGCTCACGCCAGCGTGACCAATGTTAATCCTCATCCTGGCTTTTATTTTGTCACTCTCCCCTTTTCTTTTTTTAGTTTCCTCTGATAAAACCGTTACCTTCTTCCTTTGTAGTTGTTGTTCGGCCGTGATGAAAACGTACAGACGGCAATCAAACGTGTTGAGCACTAACGTCAGAATCTGAAGAAGTTGGGGTGGTGGGGGAAGTGACGTATGCCGGAAAGCGGTCGAATTTTGTAGTTCTTTTTGTGCTCGGGTTCCTACCCGAAACCCGAAGTTACAAAGTCATTGTACCATCTCAATGGGTTTTGGTAATAACTTATAAAGGTTGAAGAGTTCCACAGTGTGGCTTTAAGTATATATCATTATAATATTAATAATACACATATTTTATTGATATTTTAGGGGTTGGGGCTATCCAAACCCTTGGGGCTATCCCCCCCTGTTAAACATAGCTGACAAATGGGTTGAAATTGGAGTAGTATGAAGCTGCAGACTCAGAGCCTGCATGGACAGT